AAAAAAAAAAAAAAAAAAAATTCTATCTAAATACATTAGATTCATTGACATTATTTTCTTTTTAAATGTTTCATTTAATTTATTAATTCTCATTGTTAAGTAAGATAAAAATAAATATGAATATATGAGCGTAATCATAATACTAGTCACGTTGTGGTGATCTCGTATTACCATACCGCACTGCCTATAGTATCCCCAAAGTTAGTACCCTCACGTTATAAGACCCGGGTATTTTACTAGATATAAAATTTTTACTCTCAATTAGTACCCCCAATTCTGCTTAATTCTGGCAAAGTACCCACGGGTATTATATAATTTTTAAATAAGGTATTTTGTATAATGCCCGGGGTATTGTGTAGTGCGGTACGGTAACAATGATTTCTATGATCAACAACTAAATATGATATCAAAACGAAAAAAAAAAATTTCAAGATTTAAAATTCAATAGCTTTACATTTAATCAGGATTAAAAAAATATATATATATTAAAAATATAAAGAATACACAATAATTTAAAGAATAACATAAAACCTCGCTTTTTCGAAAATACTAAAGAATTTTTTTTTTTTCTTATAGAAATGTATTCAAGAGTAATTACTTTATTATTGTCTAAAAACTTGAAATACTTTTTTTTATTGGAAGAAGCATTCTGTTACATGAAAAATGTTATTGTTTGGGATACTTTTTTGCAGAATTTTGAAAGAAAAATAATGAAAAGAATTCTGAGTTATTAAAGTGAAGAATTACATCAATAATAGGAACTTAGAAAAATTATCCCAATATGACGATCACGAATAGTAAACAGCAAATCCATTAGTCACGTTAATTTTCTTTATACAGGAATTTTATTATTTTTATTTAGAAAAAAAAAGTTAAATAAATAAATTATCATCGATGTAACGAGAATGGTGATTAAAAGAATGCGATAATAAAACGAGCTAATAAAAATTCGTACCACTAGTATAACAACGCACAACTAAATACGTCACTACTCAAATATTTTGCCACGTTCCGCTCTAACCATTAAAATGTAAGTGGCGTAGAAAAATTCCTTTTAGTGTACATGAAAGTTTTTTTTCGAAAGTGCTTTGAGTAATGTTACTCAAATAATTAACCATATTTATCAAATTAATTATTATCGCGACTTCGATATAAGCATCTAAGCGTAAATCTTTTTTTTAAAAAAAATTCGTAGACTCGATGAAAATATTCTAATTATAGATTTTAACTTCCAGGATAAATAGTATTTATAGAACGACCGACCGTTCATGAGTTTTTTAAACATTTTAAAGATTTTTTAAAAAATTATATTACACAACGATAAATAAATAAAATAAATATATATACACACATAATGACTTTATTAAATAATATTTATATAAAATAATATAAAAATATATATATAATAATTTCATTTTCAAAAAAAAAAAATTCTCTTGTTTCTTTATACATTATATATAAAAATGTACGAATTATAACAAAATTTTAAATTTAAAAAAAAAGTAAAATCAAAAGTAATTGGTAAAAATCAATTTTAACAAAGACTCTTGTACAAGCAAGTGGTAACTTCCGTTTTAAGTAAACCTCCATTATAACATGAAGCCGCAAAAGTTTCCCAATTGGTTGATGTATCTCCCTTTTTATCCTTCCATCTTGCAATTTTGACCAATTCTGTATGCCAAGTTCGAGTATTAGTAAATTTCCAACAATACATAATACTTAATAATTCCTTCATCAATTCGCAAAAGAAGGAATATCCTTCTATTGGGTATCCCCATTGAATAACTCCATAATCGATCATCAATTGAAAATCTTCTTCATCTGTACACATACTTAGGTAAAAGTATATAGCACTATGAATATAAGCGGCTTTTCCAGAAATAATTTCATGAATGATACAATTTTTTAGTACTTTAAAGCGGAATGGATCAAGAGTAAGAGTGGTATAATAATATGTCTTGCTTAAAGGATCAACGTAACAAGTGTATGCTCCATTAATGACGCGTTTCAAGGGAATTTTATGACGAACATATTCTTTAAATCCGAATTGAATAAAGGATCCATCACTGTGGCTAGCTTCATTAAATAATTTGTATTGTCCGGCTGATTGTCGATAAACGTTTTCCATCATGGTAACTTCGGTATCCAAAGGTTGTATCAAACCACCAGTAATTAAAAAGGGTGAAGCACCAACGATCATTCTAGAGAAAAGAGAGAGAGAAAATTCGGGTTAGATTCTAACTTACAACTGTTGAACATGTAGGACAAAGAAAATAATGATACGGTACGCTTTTATGTCACCAGCTGGATCGCCGAACCTGATTCATATAAACGTTTAAAACGTTAGATTTACTTTCTTTCGATTTAGAACAGGAAAATAAAAATAAAGTTTACGAATATACTTCTAGTACATACGGATTGAAAGGTAATTGTAATAAATCTTGAGCTTTCTCCAAGAAATTATCCATGAGGAATTTATATTGTAACGTTGTGAAAGGGTTTAAAAGGTCCAACAAAGCGCTTTTATAATCGGATACAGCGGCAACGGCAGAAGTAATACGTTCGTCAGGTACAGCAGAAAGACATCTACGAAATTGTAATGAATACGATAATAATCGTGTTACGAGTTGAATTTCCATTCTTGCCGTATATGTTTGTTGTTCATCAATGTTAAAGTCGTTTAATCTTTTAATAAGTGCATCAACCTCTTCCACATTTGCGACAAAAGCCAACTGTAGTTTAATTTCTTCCAAATGCAACATACGTTGCGTCTGTTCGTTGTAAGGTAAAATGTTACCTCTATAAGATTTTGCGATGTAATCGTTGAGTTTTACACTTTCTACGAAGCGAATACTCTGGCATTTGGGTTCATTGATTGGTTGCAAAATATCCGCGAGGCTCGCAAATAAATTATTAAGGGATACATTGGGTGGATTTTGATTAAGAGAAGGGATTGTTGTAGTATTTGGATTAGCAGACATTGATAACAGTTGTATATAGTAAAAAAAAAAAAAAAGAAAAAGAAAAAAAAAATTAGGTAAAATGTTCTCAGCATCACGTACAAAGTTACTCTTTAAATAAATGATTTGTTATCATGTGACTTGTAATACGCAATGAAAGACTTTTTTATTATATTACTATATCTTGTAATGCGAGTTATGACATAAACATGATTCATTTACACAAAATATAAACAAATACAATCAAACAAAGAGACGCATGGAAACCTTTGGAAAAAATTTGATGATCACATGATCGAGGGTAAGTAATTTTATCATATTTGTTAAATATTTTTTTTCTAGAAATTTTTTAATTGACCAAAAAAAGATCGTCATTTCGGCAATTCGGTAAAATTTGACTATGTATCACATTTTTTTCACACAACCGTATGGAAATGAAAGGCCAAAAATGCTTAGATATTCGATAAATAAGGATTGATCTACAATAATAAGACAAGTGGCGTGCATTAGCATGAATAATGAAACAATTCTTTTTGGTAACACAATTTAATACCAAAGTTCTTAGTGCCTGATTTCTAAAACAAGTAATTTGTATGTCTAACGTTTATTGAAATTAAATTTGTGTTAGGTAAAACAGATTTTATTAAAAAAAACATCATGATGATATTTTTATTTTCTCAATAAAAATTCTTTATTACTAAGTCTTTAGTAAAAAAGGAAAGAGAACAATGAAAAGGTTAATTAATTTAGCAAAAAATAACTTTCATGCAATGTTTAAATTCACGTTTTCTTTTATTGGTTAAAAAATATTAAAAATATTAAAAGTCGGAAAAAAATTATCTCTGATATAAACAAGGATAAAAATACCTATTTTTATAATTATTTCTTTATTTTATTTTTATTTTATTTTATTTTATTATATTTTTATTTATTTAATTTTTTTTATTATATTTTTTATTTTATTTATTTTTTTATTATATTTTTATTTTATTTATTTAATTTTTTATTTTTAGTACCTAAAAAAACCTCAAATGTTATTTTATTTTTGCAAGATAAAATCATATACAATTTTAATTATAGTAAATTTTTTTGTCGTTCATAAATAAATTTAACTAAGAATTTTATTTACCAAAGGCACAGCACATTCCGATACTCCGAAAAGTTTTTATTCGTTCGGACTTCGGACTTCGGACTTCGGATCGATATAAATAATTTCATGGCGCGTTATAAACATTATAAACATTATAAACATATGTACTTTAATAACTCAAATGTTATAAAATAAATAAATGAAATAAATATTTTATTGATGCTAAAATGCTAAAATGCTAAAATAATAAAAATAATAAAAATAATAAAATATGTAAATAAATCTATATATAGTTTCTATTAATTATTAGTATAATATTTAGCGAGATATGATTTAGGAAGAATGTTGTTTTTTCTTATCATGGGTTCAACGAATGCTGGTAAAACCATTAAATTAATAGTTAATAACAAAATCCATTTTAAGAACCTCTTAATCTTTGTAATCTCATTTTTTTTCTCATAACCAAACACAATTTCCCATAAAATAAATATTACACCATGAATCATAAAGAAAAAGAAATGTTCACCCGTCCAAATATTTGATATTCCAATAATAAGGTATTCATGAAGTAAACTACTAAAACATAGAGCACCAAGTACTCCCATCATATTTGCAATTTTCCTTGGAACAAATGTGATTAATAAATTCCTGACAGGCAAGTAACCTAATTCTTTAAAAATTTCGCTAAACATTAATTGCCAACGAGTGGACCAAAAATCACGAGGACTCGATGCAATCCATGGCATACTAAATATATGTTTCGTATTGAATAAAAATGTAATCATCCATTCTTTTAAAGAAACATATTCTGAAGGAGTGAAAAGACCGGACTTAATTAAAATAGATTTGTGATTGCTATTTTCTGATTTGGAATAAAGAAAGAGACGAAAGAAGATTGTGAAAATAATAGTGAAAATATCATAAATTATTGACATCGCTAAGTAAGCGGATATAACAGAATTCAAATATAGTAATATTGAAGATGTAATTAGAGGGGTTCCTTTTATGATAAATTCAATTAAACGAACTTGATAAGCTTTTTCTGGAATTTTTATCTCGTACTTGTTTGAAATGAAAAGTGTAAGCTCAAAAATTAACCATTTTAAGAAGGTTATAATGGAGCGGTTAATCAACTTTTTGTTAATTTGTGAAGTCGTAGGTGATTTGATAATCAAAGAATCATTCTCCGATTTTGGAGGAATTATATAAGAATCAAAACGCCAATTAAATAATGTCTAAAAGAACGATGTAAATTCTTTAGAATTTTTTGGATTTTTATATGTTCTATTTAATTTTAAGAATAAAAACATTTTCATCCCAAAAAATGCACCACGAGTAACCAAACCATTATGAATTTTAATCGGATAATTTCCCTTACGAAAACTAATTGGAATTGATATATATATAAGCGCTAGAGATAATAAAGTGTAAAAACGTTTTCTTGTTCTAATTGGTTCAAATGTAAGTGATATGAATAATAATAATGGAATAATATATATTGAAAAATAAATTGAATTAGGTAATTTAGGTGGGAATTCTTGCCATATTGATAAAGGTGAATTAATGATGAAATTTAATGTATGAGCGATCGTTATTGATAATGGTATATAAACCAGATTTGATTTTGTGAAAATTCTAGATTGTGATTCTAATGACATTATGTATAATTTTGATATTATGGAATGTAAATCTATTATGTTAAATATGATTTTATGAAGTGTTGAAAAAAAAATGCAAATGTTATGATCTATGAAGTTGTTGAATAAAATGACGTTTGTGATTATTGAAATCTATGTTTATATATTATATATATCTATATTTATGTATATTGTATGCAAAATTCTTTCGTCCTTTAAAATATTTTTGTCTAATGATTTTATTTACTGAAAAAAAAAACTTTCGAATTTTGTCGCTTTATATATATAATTTTTTTTTTTTTTTTTTGATTTTGAAAGGATTATTTTTAGATTTCCAAAAAAATCATTGTTACAATAAGTTACTTTTTTACTGTATTACATAATGTGGCGTTTTTTCGATNATTTTTTTTTTTTTTTTTCGAGTTCGAAAGGAATATTTAAGAACCGAAAATCATTATTACAATAAATCAAAAAAAGAATAGTGTATTGTCACAATATGGCGTTTTGAGTTTACCGTAGTTGCTTTGCAGACTTTTCTAATTTTAGATTACCCATACTGCAGAAATTCTTTAAATTCTTTCTAAACATTGTATTTAGAAATTGGTTAGTCTATTAGTAAATTTTTTTTGACGATCACGTATCATTTAGATTGATGTTCATATCTTCTTAAGGAATTAGCATTATCATAATGCCTTTCCTTTTATGAGTTTCAAATAACGACAATAATGGAAATCGATTTGAAAAAAAAAGGAATTGTTCTTGAGAATTTATTATATCAATGTAATGCATAATTATGTCTATCTTACTCGTTTCAAAAGTTTCTTCGGAGTTCAAAATTGGATGCCGCAGAATATTCTCGGTATTGTTACACAAAATTTTTCCATCGGAAATTTGATCTTTTCTATCTTTTCTAGAAAGAAAAAAAAAATCTCGACTATTTACTTTTTTGTATCAGCATCTAGCGGATTTTATTTTACAATAAAGATTGGTTAAAACAATCAAACAATCATATTATTTAATGTGTATTCTTTTGTTCAAATATTTTTTAAATCCTATTTTGTAAGTAATGATGTATAAAGGATGGAATTTTTGTCCGACTTTATCAAATTATTTATTGTAACATGCATGCTTGTAATGTAAAACGATACTGAAATAAATAACTAGTTTGTGCTATCGAACTAGTCAGAGTGCCACCTTAGAATTATTATTTTGTTTCGTCAATATACTATATTTTTAGGTTTAATGAATGAATTCATTACAATCTCTTCATTATATAAGCAAACTTTTATATACTTTATACAGCCATAACTCGATAGTCGATATAACGATTTGGGATAAACCGATTTTGGCCCATAACGAACTTTTTTCTTAAACCAAAACCATCTATAATTAATTGTATCATTATATACCGACTTTATAATAAATTTCGTGATATTACAAATAACGAAGTTAATCATAAAGCAGTCATACTTATTTATTCGCAATAAACCGATACCATTCTAATTCCAGCCTGAATTAACTCAGTCTCGGCCGGCACTATTAAACGCAGCAGATCACCTGATATATCTGGATCTCAATTTCGGTGCATCTATTTACAAGTTTCTATATGATAACACCGTATTGAACTGTTGATATTATAAACGTGATAAAATAGGATTTTATTTTGATATATTTTTTTTAGATATACTGATTCTTATATTTTAATATATAAATCGTTATAATAGAAAAATTTGATCGATGTAATGATTCAAAATAGCTTGAACGGAGGGTTCATTATATCGAGTTCTGACTGTAACAGGAAATAGGAATATCCGAATTTATTTATTAAATTATATTATTGAAATTTACTAATAATTTCTATTTTTATATTTATGATAAACTTGGCCAGCCATTTCAATTTGTAAATCAATTTTAACATAAATTTAAAACCATGCGTAAAAAACGAACAGGTATGCCGGTCATTTCATGTTATAAACTCCATCAAATCATTTCACTTCGATCAGTGAAGGTTTTGAAGTTCAATAAACGAATTTATTTAACTTGAAACATGTGAATTTAGAATAAAGTAAGTTTATCTCTGTTGCTAAATAATATAGATTCAATTAATTGAATTGAATGAAAGAATTATTTGTAAAAAAGTTATAAATTTGTAATTTCTCAATTTTATTTTTAACATTGATTTTTATTTTTATCCATAGTAATACTTTGATTTTTATCTTAATAAAACATATTAATTTTGATTGTATATTCATTAAAATAAATATAATAAAAAATATTAAGTACTTGTTCTATTGCTAAAATTGCATCAAAATACAATAATATTATTCGTTATTATTAATTTTTTTTTTTTTTGATTGTTTCATTCACATCAGTATTTAATATTATTCATGTTTGATATGATATCGAAAAAAAGAATCTTGATTAAATATTTTAATTTTAAATTACTAATATTATTATAATTTAATTAAAAAAAATGTAAAAAGAATTTCGCACAAGTATTTTCCATATTAAATATGTACTGGTAAAAAATACTTTTAAGATTTTTAAATAGATAATAAATAATTTAGTTAGAATTATTAAGATTAATTAAGGTGCATATCATCATATTTTTTGCATTATATATACCGTGTATTATGCCTGGAATATTAATATAATTAGTATTACATCAATTCGGTTACGTAGACAGCAGACTTAAGTTTTAGGTCGAGTTCTTTCTGTTATGCTTTCTTTATATTAGTACAAATTACCTAATAGTGCTGTGTTTCTTGTTATATATTTTGATAAAATTGTGTAATTCTTAAATTCTTAATGGAAAGTTGGCTATTGTGTGCAAGTTGTTTAGAAGATAACTATAAATAAAATATTATAGTTTGTCTATAATCATTAATCTATGACTTTTAATTCAGCAGAAAACTTTCTATAATACCGAAAAAAGACTTTACAGAAACCTTCAATTTTCATAAATATGATAAACATATAATTGTTAGATAGCAGTCATATTTTCGATATATAATAAAAATATTTTAGTACATGTTATATAATTATGAGATGATCAACAGATGTATAAAACATGTTCGTAATTTCCTTGATTTATGCTGTTAGATAATAGTCATATTTTTGATATATAATAAAAAAATATTTTAATATTCTTTGCAGAAAACTCTAGTTTTCGTAAAATATGTTAGACATAAAAAATGACGAGAATTAATGATATTGGTGAATATTTTTGTAATATGAACAAAACAATTTTACAATATTTTCAAAATATGTTAAAGATGAACTTGAATTAACAAATATTTTCGTAATATGAATACAATATTTTGAAATGCATTAAAATATGATTGATATTAGCGAAACAGTTATTACAATATTTTGAAATATATTAAATATAAAATATAAACTTAAATTAATGATATTAGTGAATTCTAAGAATGAATAAAATATAGCTACTATTTCGATTCCCTATATCAAAATTCATAAAATCTTTGAAATATAATTAACACATGAATAAAATATAGCTACAATATCAATTACATATGGCAAAATTCATATAATCTCTGTAATATAATTTGACATATCTTTCTCCTATTTTAACCTGATTAACCACGCACTTTAAGATGATGAATTACTTCTCCTTAATTTGGTTCATTAAGGAGGTTCCTAACATAATGTTAGTGTTTCATTCACTTATCCGCTGGCGGTCAGACTAAAATATTCCTTACTAACTTTTCATTCTTTCTTACTTTTTACACCAATAATAATATAAAAAATTTTTAATACTGAAAAAAATATCGGCAAAAGCCCTATATTTATATTAATTTAGAATCACGTGTATCATGTAATTAACCTGATTAAAGCAATACTAATAATAAATCCGCAGTTTGGTCTTTTTTTTTTAAACTTTTTTTAACTCTTTTTTTTAACAAAGTTTATTTTATTTTATTTTATTATTTAAACTTTTAACTATTCTTTTAATTTTTTCTAACACTTTATTAATGTTATAATATATTTCAACACCATATGGTCATTACTTTGTTATTTTTTACTCTCTATTTCCTATTTTTCTTCTTTCAATCATTCCCTCCTCTCTCTCATACATAGTTTTAAAAAAAAAGTGAAAAGTACCCACAAGAGAAAATCAAAAATTCTTTAACATTTTACATTTTGATTTTAGCTTCCATATTGAATTTCATTCATTTGAAATTCACTTTGGTACAATAAATAGTAGGAGGTTGTTTAGTATTAGGCGTAAGTATATTTTGTTGTGTAAAAAATGATAAGGAAAAGGAGATAAGAGCAGTTTCTTCACAGATTCATATTTTTCAAATCTCCAGATATATAATTAATGCAGAGTATCAACAGAAATGATTGGAAGATATTCCAATAGTAGCGTAACATATTGTTAAATACCCTTCAAATGCTGAAACTGGAAGCTTTTTTTAGGTAATTCTTTCAGCTCCTCCAGTAGAATTTGTCAATTTTGTTTTCTTTAATTGTTTTGTTTTTTATCAAATAATTTTTAATGGTTGTTTTCTTAATTCTTAGATGGCTTAGTTCTACGGTATTTAGAATGTGAGTACAGTAGGAAGTTTTTTTTTAATTATTTATCTTATAGCAACGAAACATTTCTTAGATAATGGGATCTTCAGATATGTTGATTTTTGGTAAGGGTATTCGGAAGTTTTTAAAAGTTTCAAAACATTTTACTAATGTTACAATTTACTCTCTTTTTTAGCAAGTTTTTAAATCTTTGTGCGCGTTGGAATTGAGTGGGTATTTCTTTTTTTAGAATTTCTATTTTAACAAATATTTATTAATGTTTTGATTTTTTTCTTTTGTAGCTCTTATTATGGCATGTCTGGCCTCTTTGGATGCTGTCTCTTTAGATGTGGACTTTTGGTAACTTTTTTATCTTTTTTTTTTCACTTTTGATGAAATGAAACATTTATCAACATCCTTTCATTTTTCTTTCTTTTGTAGTTGCAGATTTTTAGAGGGTGATTTTATTATTTGTTTATTTTATATTTTTTAATAAACTTTTGCTAAATGTTCATTTGTTTCTTCTTTTTAGGCAACTGAACTGGCTGAATTACTTTAGATGTGCAGGACCTCTTTGACGAACTGTCATTTGTAACATTTTGATTTTTTCTTTTTTAGCAGCTCTTTAGTTTCTTAGCTCAGGATTTTGGTTAGTCTCAAAATTTTTTATTAAATTTTTTTTATTTTTAGCAAACTTTACTAACAGTTTATTTATTTCTTTTTTTTAAACAGTTGTGCATACACTTAATTTATGGTAAGAATCTTCAGAATTTTTTTTAAAAAATTTTCTTTATTGAGCATTTTATTAAAATTTCAATTTTATTTATTTCATTTTTAGGCAATGGAACCTTGGATTTGTAGATTTTGGTAAGTATTGGAAGTTCCTTTGGTTTTATTTCTTTAACGAATTTCTTACTAATGTTTTGACTTTACTTTTTTTTTAAATGATCAAGCATCTTGTATTGTATAAATAGAAATAAAATTACTTATTGAAAATTTACACGTCCACAAACAAGCAAATATACTAATAAAAATAACCTACAGTGTATTGCAAAATATCATACAAGAAATCTAGACTAATTACTACTACTATTTATTATCCTACCCGCAACTTACAGTATTTAACAGTCTGAAGAAAATCGCAGAAGAATAAGTGTGACCTCCAAATGAGATGGAAAGGAAGTGACCAGGAGAGTTGCAAAAGGGAGATAAGATGTGAGAATGGCGAACATACAAAAAAGTACAGTAATAATTTTGTTTCCTTATCATTGAGAGGGTCGTACAGAAAGGAGAATCAGAAGTCACATGATTTGACTTGGAAATTTCCTTGCGAATAAATCACAATGATCCAAATCAAAAATTGTGCAGTGAAGGCATTATAATAGTTTTGTTTTTATTATAATTTCAATGTAAAATGTATAATTGTAATATTTTAGTGTATTTTTAATATATAATAAATTGTATTACTTGCAATATATTATAATGATATTTTTGATATATAATAAAAATATAAATATCACATTTTTTTCATAAATTTTGACATATTTTTGATATATAGTAAACATATTTTAAACATATTTTAATCATGTGTTTTTTAACATATGTTCAACATATTGCCGTTATCGAGTTACAACAGAGTTAACAGAAATGTACACGCAATATGTCAATCATATTTTAAAAATATTTTTACCATATTTTTCAAAATCAATAGGTTTCTGCAAAGGGACTTTATCTTGAAAAATAATTAAATATGATGTTAGCAATAAATACACCAGTAAAACTTATCATAATAAAAATTGCGCACAGATGTTAAATATAAAATCACTTTCAAGAGTGTATACCTACTATTAATGAATAATAATGCCCTTCTAAACCTTCTAAATTAATAACGTTTTTCAAAATAATTGGTTGAATAAAAATAATTTGTGACATAAATCCGTGTTGTCGATCAACTTAATGTTATACTTATACAAAAAGGAACTAATAATAAATTTGATCTACATCAAAATGAAGCCCCTTAATTAATTTGTATTACCATTATCTAGATGCTGTATAACTATAATATGATACACATGTCAACGGGCTGAAATAATTTTTTTTTACTTGAAAACAAAAAAAATGAATTATAAAAATAAAGACGAAATACAAATAGAATCTGAATTTAATGAATTAAATATTTCTAGTAGAAATCCAAATATCAATCATGTAAATTGTTATAAACCAGAAGATAAAAAATTGTGGTGTAAAGAATGTGTTCCTCGTTGCATAATTGAAGGATGGACCAGTAGGAATAATGATATTGATGAATTTATAAAAGATACGATTTATAATGCAAAATATCATAGGAATAATTACCCATTATTTCTTGAATTGATACCATTTGATAGATTTGAAGATGTAAAACAAATTGGTGAAGGAGGATTTGCCAAAGTTTACTCTGCAACATGGATTGATGGTGAAGCAAAATATAAAAGACAAAATGATGGAAGTTGGAAAAAAGAAGAATCTAAACCTATAAAAGTAGCTTTAAAAAAATTAAATGATTCACAAAATATTTCTGCCAATTATTTAAATGAGGTATATTCGCATTTTCTATTATTAACTAATTTTCAAAATATAAAGATTTATTCATGGCTTTTAAATTTTTGTAGATTAAAACACTTTGGAATGTTTATTTTAATGATCATATTTATTTAAAATTTTATGGAATAACTAAAGATACAAAAACTGGAGAATTTATGATGATTATAGAATTAGCAGATCAAGGAAATTTGAGAAGTATTCTTTCAAGTAATTTTAATAATATTTTTTGGAGAGAAAAATTAAAATTATTATGTAATATAGTACATGACCTTAAAAATTTACATAAATTGGGATATTTTCATAAGGATTTCCATAGTGGAAATATATTACATAATTACAATAAAAGCAATAATGGAAACATTTCTTATATTTCAGATTTTGGATTGTCTGGACCATCAAATGAACAAAAATCAGATGACAAAATATGTGGAGTATTACCATACATTGCTCCAGAAGTTTTGAATAAGGAACCATATACATTATCTTCTGATATCTATAGTTTTGGTGTAATTATGACAGAATTGTCATCTGGAAAACCACCTTTTTATAAAAGAAAACATGACTTAAGCTTAGCATTAGAAATATGTAATGGAATCAGACCTGAATTTGGAAAGGGAACACCTGAAATTTATAAAAAATTAGCATATAGATGTATGAGTGCAATTCCAAATCAAAGACCAACGGCAGATGAATTATATGATATAATATATTTTTTGTTCTATGCTTATATAGGTAATTTTCAAAATGAAGAAAAATTTGGTTATAAAGGAAAAGAGATTAAAGCTATTTTTGATGAAGCTAATAAAGAGATACCAAATATTTCAACTTCATATGAAAAGATTCCTGATGCAATATACACTAGTAGGGAATTCACATTTAGTAATTTGCCAAAACCTGTCAATTCATCTATAATTACTTCATGTCTTGAAGTTGAAGAAGATAATAAAGGTATTAATTATTTCTTTATGATCATTGCATTATATGTTTAATTCCATAATTACTAACTTTTTATCATTTAATAGATTGTCAAGATTCTAAATTATTTGATTTAGAAGTTCCTAATTAATTATATTTAAGATAAGAAACAATATTTATTATATTGGCTACATATAATTATATATGCAATTATTATTAAATTTTTGTTCATAATTATAGTTGAAAACAATCATTTCAATACAGTATTTTTAAATTTTCATTTATTATTATTATTTTTTATATCAATTTATTTATTTATTTTATAATCATTGTATTTTGTATCGTATGACAGAAATATTAACTTGATTTCCTTATTCAATAAAGACAATAAAAGAACATATATGTTTTATAAATTAAGTTGATATTGAAACAAACATAAATTAGTATGATTACTATTACTTTTACGAGTATTTATAATTAATATTTATAAATAAGCTAATGATAAAGGTATTTTATATTAATATTCATATCTATTTACTAAACCTATTGCAGCATTATATTTACTATTTATTTTTCCTAAAAAATTTGATTTCTGGAATTAAACAATGTTGAATACTAATATTCGAGATGATGAAAATTTTTAATATTTTAAATACCTAAATAAAAAAGACATATTTCTTATTACAATAAGGTTTTTAAGTTCAATAAACGAATTTATTTAGCTTGAAACATGTGAATTTAAAATAAAGTAAGTTTATCTTTGTTGCTAAATATAGTAGATTCTATTAATTGAATTGAATGAAAGAATTATTCTGTAAAAAGTTATAAATTTATATTTCTCAATTTTATTTTTAACATTGATTTTAATTTTATCCATAATACTTTGATTTTTATCTTAATAAAACTAACTTATTAATTTTGATTGTATATCATTAAAATAAATATAATGAAAAAATATTAAGTACTTGTTTTTATTGCTAAAATTGCATCATTATACAATAATATATCATCGCTCATTGTTATTAATTTTTTTTTTTGATTATTTCATTTACATCAGTATTTAATATTATTTTATGTTTGATATGATATCGAAAAAAGGATCTTACACGAAATTCTTTTCTTAGATTATAATATTAGTAATTTAAAATTAAATATTCAATTAAGTATTTTTCATATTAAATATGTACTGGTAAGAAATACTTTTAAGCTTTTTTAAATAGATAATATATCATTTAGTTAGAATCATCAAGATTAATTAGGATGCATATCATCATATTCAGTTTGCATTATGATATATACCATGTATTATTTCTGAAATTAATATAATTAGTATTACATCAATTCGGTTAAGTAGACAGTAGACTTAAATTTTAGATCGAGTTTTTTCCATGCTTCTTTATACTGTATTTCTTGTTATACATTTTGATAAACTGTGTAATTCTTAATGGAAAGTTTGTTATTGTATGTCAATTGTTTAGAAGATAACCATAAATAAATACTATAATTTTATATACAATCATTAATCTATGACTTTTAATTCAGCAGGAAACTTCTATAATACCAAAAAAGACTTTATCTTAAAAAACAATTAAACATAATGTTTGCAATAAATACATCAAGACTTATTATAATACTAGAAATTGTGCACAGATGCCAAATATAAAATCACTTTCAAGAGTGTATACTTTTAGTAATGAATAATAATTACTAAATAATTATGGCGCGCTGATGTGGACAGATTGGTATTTTATTAATACCAACTCCTGCTATTTAAATATACTAGCTCTTGTATTTTAAAATTACTGATTTTGCCTAAAATGGCAATTCCTTTTTATATTATTAGACAGATTTGTATTTATTTAATACCAAATTTCTCTAATTAAATATTACCAACTCTTGTAATTTTAAAATTGACAGATCTTTTTTCTTCAATAGACAGATTTATATTTTTTTATTGCCTCCTTTTTTTCATTAGAAGATCTTTTTTCTTTAATAGACACATTTGTATTTTTTTATTATTAGCTCTGATGATCATTTTTATTCGCTAAATCTCACCGCAGGTGATCCTTACCGCAGGTGATTTTATTCCGGCCAAATTATAATTCCAGCTGGAGTTAATTGTGCAACCTAATAAAAAGTTTTGACTTTTTTAGTAACAATGTGGTATAAAAATTGTACCAATGAGTTCAGAAGATACCCTTTTATAATCAAATATGCAGTTAAATTTTGTGTAGCCTCACTGCATAAATCACTTTACTTAAGAAATCTATTTCGTAATGGTCAAAAGTGGTCTATTTGACCTTAAAAGTGGTCAAACTTGACCTTATTGATGATCAAATGACCATCAGTTGCCTTAATTGATGGTCAAAAGTAGTCTATTTGGCCTTAAAAGTGGTCAAATGTAACCATCAGCTACCTTAATTGATGGTTAAAAGCGGTCAAACGTGACCATCAGCTGCCTTAATTGATGGTCAAATATGCCCTCGCCTTTAACTACCTATTATTAGTATAACCAAACAGAAAATTTTCGAAAAATTCCTGTGCTATATGACCACTTTCTAGGGTCAAATAGACCACTTTTAACCATCAATTAAGGTAGCTGATGGTCACTTTTGCCACTTTTAAGGTCAAATAGAACACTTTTGACCATTGCGAAATAGATTTCTTAAGTAAAATGATTTATTCAGTGAGGCTACACAAATTTAACTGCATATTTACTTATAAACGGATATCTTCTGGATCCATTAGTGCAATATTTATACCACATTGTAACTAAAAAAAATCAAAAACTTTTTATTAGGTTACACAATTAAATTTGGCTGGAATTATAATTTGACCGGTGAAATCACCTGCGGTGAGATTCAGTAGATCTGCTAATGAATATAAATGATTGTCAGAGCTAATAATAAAGAAATATAAATCTGTCTGGTAAAGAAAAAAGATCTGCTAATAAAAAAAGGGGATAATAAAAAATATAAATCTGTCTATTGAAGAAAAAAGATCTGCCAATTTTAAAATTACAAGGTTGGTAATATTTAATTAGAGAAAGTTCGTAATAAATAAATATGAATCTGTCTAATAATGCAAAAAGAAATTGCCATTTTAGACAAAAATCTACCATTTGCAGTAATATTAAAATACATGAGCTGGTATTATTTAAATAGCGGGAGTTGGTATTAAAAAAATACCAATCTGTCCACATCGGCGCGCCATAAATAATGCCCTTATAAATTAATAAAGTTTTCAAAATAATTTGTTGATAACAACCAATAAAAATAATTTGCATATCCACCTGACATAAAATCCCGTGTTGTTGATCAACTTGATGTTATACAAAAAGGAACTAATAATAAATTTGATCTACATCAAAATTAGCCCTCAATTATTTTGTATTACCATTATCTGGATGCTGTATGACTACACATGTCAACGGGCTGAAATAATTTTTTTTTTGAGAAACAAAAAATGAGTTATAAAAATAAAGACAAAATACAAATACAATCCGAATTTAATGAATTAAATATTTCCAATAGAAATCCAAATATAAAAAGAGCTGGTTCACAGCTTTCAAATAAAAAAATTTTGACGTGATTTGTAATTATCTTAAATTATTCCGGTTTTTTTTTTGTAACACACTGTATATTGTCGATCTTTTTGTTTTGTACAGCATTTTTTTTCTGTAACTATATAATTCCTTTTTATCCTTATTAATAATAAAAGTATTTAAGTAAAGTCTCAGTTTTTTTACGAATTAATTTTCTATCAAAATTTTTAATCATAAAAATTAGTTACATTAATAGAAAAATAAAACAATTAGTATTCAAATTCAATAAAAAAGAAATGAATAAGGATAATTATAAAGAAAATGAAAGTCAAGTTGAATCTGAACTTGATAAATTAAATATCTCTGACAATGATTCAAGTTCGGTAAATATCAACCATAAAAATTGTTATAAACCAGAAGATAATAAATTATGGTGTAAAGAATGTGTTCCTCGTTGTATAATTGAAGGATGGACCAGTGGGAATAATGATATTGATGAATTTATCAAGGATACAATTTATAATACAAAATATTCTGATGATGATGATTATTATTATCCATTTTTTCTTGAATGGGTACCATTTGATAGATTTAAAGATGTAAAACAAATTGGCGAAGGGGGATTTGCCAAAGTTTACTCTGCAACATGGATTGACGGTAAAGCAGAATATAAAAGACAAAATGATGAAAGTTGGAAAAAAGAAGAACCCAAACCTATAAAAGTAGCTTTGAAAAAATTAAATGATTCACAAAATATTTCTGCTAATTATTTAAATGAGGTATATTTACATTTTCTATTGTTAACTAATTTTCAAAATATAAAGATTTATTCATGACTTTTAAATTTTGTAGATTAAAACACTTTGGATTATTTATTTTAATGATAGTAATAATTATTTAAATTTTTATGGAATAACTAAAGATACAAAAACTGGGGAATTTATGATGATTATACAATTAGCAGATCAAGGAAATTTGAGAAGTATTCTTTCAAGTAATTTTAATAATATTTTTTGGAATAAAAAATTACAAATCTTACATAATATAGTACATGACCTTAAAAATTTACATGAATTGGGATATTTTCATAAAGATTTTCATAGTGGAAATTTATTACAGAATAGGGATGATAATAATGATAATTTAACTTATGTGTCAGATTTTGGATTATCAGGGCAATTAAATGAACAAAGATCAGATGACAAAATATGTGGAGTATTACCATACATTGCTCCAGAAGTTTTAAATGGAGAACCATATACATTCTCTTCTGATGTCTATAGTTTTGGTATAATTATGACAGAATTATCATTTGGAAAAACTCCTTTTTATAATAGAAAACATGATATTAGCTTAGTATTAGAAATATGTAATGGAATCAGACCTGAATTTGGAAAGGGAACTCCTGAAATTTATAAAAAATTAGCATATAGATGTATGAGTGCTATTCCAAATCAAAGACCAACAGCAGATGAATTATATGACATATTAGTAATTTGGTGGAATGCTTCAAATGGTAATTATCAAAATGAAGAAAAATTTGGTGATAAAGTAAAGGAAATTAAAGCTATTTTTGATGAAGCTAATAAAGAAATACCAAATATTTCAACTTCATATGAAAAAATTCCTGATGCAATATACACTAGTAGAGTATTCACATTTAGTAATTTGCCAAAACCTGTTAATTCATCTATAATTACTTCATATCTTGAAGATGAAGAAGATAATAAAGGTATTAATTCTTTCTTTATGATCATTGCAATATATATTTAATATTTTTACTAACTTTTTATCATTTAATAGATTGTCAAGATTCTAAATTATTTGATTTAGAGGTTCCTAGTAATTAAATATATTTAAGATAAGAAACAGTATTTATTATGTTTGCTACATATAATTATATATTCAATTATTATTAAATTTTTGCTCATTTAATTATAGTTGAAAGCAATCATTTCAATACAATATTTTTAAATTTTTTTTGTTATTATTATTTCTTATATCAATTTATTTTTTTTATATAATTATTGTATTTTATATCTTATGAGTTATGACAGAATTATTAACTTGATTTTCTTATTACAATAAAAACAATAAAAGAATATTTATAAAATTAAGTTGATATTAAATTATATTTGAAACCAACACAAATTAATATGATTACGATCTTTATAAAGAAAAGTGGGTTCGAGTTTCTATTACTTTTATTGAATATTCATGATCAGAATTAATAAAATTAATACGAATTTATTTTTTACATTGGTTATTCAATTGTAAAGGTTATTATATATCAAGATTTACATCTATTTAACCTGCTACTAAATTACTTTACGCGTATTGATATTTACTATTAATTTTCTTAAAATTTGTTACTAAGAGTATAATTCAAGATGAATGAAATTTGAGTATTTTTTAAATACTCAAATAATAATGCTTTTATTTCTCATAACACTTTTAAAGTTTAATAAACTAACATAATTATTAACTTGAAATATTTGAATGATTTAAATTAGGTTTTTTTAAGATGTCGCTCATTATAGGTGCTAATAATTGTATTTAGCAAAAATAATTTATTTTTCTTATAAAGGTATTCCATATTGACTTTCTTCATAAATGTGAATTTTGACTTTAAACCTATTTGCTTTTTTAAAACCACAGAAATTGTACGTGGAAAACGTTTCTATTCTTCAATGTTTTAACTGATGTCATTGAGTCAGTTAACTCGGATAAAAATCATGTTCATTATTTCTTTAGATAATAAATATATATTATAACAACGTGTCAAAAGGTTTCAAAAATATCAAAGTACAGTTTCTACTTTTGTTTTTATGTAATTCTTGTATTCCATCTTTTTACAGTTAACTTAACTCATATATAAAATTAATTATTTATTATAGGTGTATATGATGACACGCGTACTCGCGACACGTATTTGTATTATTACTAAAATTGCGCCAAAATACACTAAATTAGTTATCCTGCGAAATATTTTGTTTCTTAATAATAATTTTTCTTAATATGATGGGACTATATATTTGGCAACAATGTTGATTCTTAAATAGATTAATCATTGATCTAATTTTTTATATGGTCTATTTTCCAATAAACGGAATTTCCTATCAGGTAAAAAATCATTAACTTTTATTTAAGGTATTTATCCGTAAAAAGGGCGATATAAAGATAAGAAAAGGTTCAATAATAGACTGAATAAAGTTAAAAAATCATATATTAAATTTTTAGGAATGCACATTATTAAATATAATAATAAAATAATATGAACAACCTTAGAGTTATGTCAAAATTTATTATTTTAGAATTAAAAATAACAAGATAATTGATTTTATAACCGAAATCAATTTTTTCAATCTTTGAATTTTTTTTTATCATGATTTCTTGTAATTTATTTTCGCCTATACAGTAATTATCTAATATATTAATAACTTCGATTTTTTTTAAAAAAATCGTCACGCCATTACAATGAACAAAACGGACATTTGTTATTTTTATGAGAGATATTTTTAAATAACTTGCTAAAATCTTTTGACAATTCATTGCCTAGTGAGCCCTTTGTTTTGTGTACTTGCCATACATTCAGCAAGTATCATACAACGCCCGTTCATCCACATTAAAGTATTGGTTTATCATAAAATATTTTTAAAATATTATTTCAAACCTTTTAAAGATTGAAATTTCCCAGATTACTTTATCACATAACCTTTATAATATAAATGATTATATAGGGAATAAATATGAAAAAGTTTGGGTTATAAGAAAAATAGTAATAGAAAAAAAAATAAACTATTAAAAAGATTGATAAAAAGTTTTTTTAACGAGTTTATTAAAATTAAACTTGGCATAATATATTTCATTTAATAATTCAATATTTAAACTATGAAAATAACCGTCTTATTTAAGGTCCAATATTTATTGTATAAGAGCAGAATTTTATAAAAATCTTTATATAACAAAAAATAAATAATTTTTAAATTTTTACAAAATACCGCAACCAAAATAACCAAAATAACGAAAATAACGAAAAATAACGAAAATAACGATAAATAACGATAAATACAGATTCAAAAAAACCAAACTCATCTATTATACCCGTTGAAAATTATAAATATTTAATTATCTATCGTATTTTTTGTATATTTCATATTTGCATTACGTTAAGATAATCAATTTGTTTTAAATGATTCGCATCAAAGAATTTATCCAAATTCCTCCAAATTCCAAAATTCTTTCCGAATTTATCAACTCACTTGTATCACGTATTTTGATTTGTGGAATGGTTTGTACCATCATCACAGTGTTACAAGAAGATTTTAAAAAAGACGGATAAACTTATGACCGGATCGACATAAAACTATTTTCCGAGTGTGACATTGCTCACCACTGGCTGTAATAAAATTACGTAACTTTACTGCAAGAAAAAAAAATATAGATATTTACTGAATGAAACCGTTAATGGACAAATTATTAATTATTATAATTATTTGGTAAAATAATATTTGGAATCACCGTAAAATTCGGAAATAAGCACCAATAATATGTTCTTTAAATATTATATAAGGGATAATGTTTGAAAAATTATCTTTGATTTTTTTTTTTATAATCTTTATGCAATTTAATTGTCAATTTATTGGTGCTCCATTGATACCTTCGAGATCAATTTAACGGGAAACAAATTTCTTCCTTGTTCTGAGAACTAATTAAAAATTTTCTTTTCTTCATACAGCAGCAGTAGCTTTCCTCTATCTCCTTTTAGATTTCTTTGTTTAATATAAACAAATTTTAAAAATTATTTACATTATAAAATAAAGAACTTATTAATTTACTCTCGTTACAAATATAGAATCCAAATACTGCGTCATAACGATAAATATTACAAATATGATATATATTAATTTGATCGACAAGTTTTAATTTACACCATCCTTTTGAAAGCGAGGGTGTAACAACTGTAACATATAATAAAATTTAGTGGGATGATAATACTGTATTATTGTGCGCAGAGCAACTCATTTAAGATTTTCCAATTGTACCATAACAAAGTAATTGTTGAGCGTATTTAAAACGTATTTATTTTATTAAAATTTTAAGTTTGAAATTTTTAACACGTGTAAATAAAGAAATCATTATAATAAATGTACTTCAATTTGCGTACAAAAAAAATTAATAAACATTTAATAATATCGACCAAGATGATCAGTGGTATATCACTTTCAAGAATACTATAATCATTAGTTGCTAAACTGATCTTGTGTATAAGATCCGTATATCCGTATAATTAATAAACATATCTAATATCGGATAATAATAAAAAGTATTAGTTTTATTTTAACGTAAAGAAATTAAGTTTATTATTACAAATTAACGAAATGAAAACTCGGTAATATTAATTACGAACTTGAAACCTGAGAACTAATTTTGTGTTTCTTATGCAATATAACTTATAAAAATATGTTAAAACATGTATAGCGTAATAAAAAATTTTTAATTCAAATATTTGTGTATTGTTGTTATTATCCTTTTTTTAAAAAAAAAAAAAAATAACAAATATTCTTCTAAACTTGATATATATAATCGGCGTAGATTAATATAATACTGCATAATTTGTTTAATGGATTTAGAAATTCCGTATGCACACTGTTATTATATAAGAAATTTTGTATAATAAAATTTTCCGGTATCAACAATCATACTATAAGGTATATAGATACTATATTAGTATATCTAGTTTCAGATTTCGTTACACGACACAAATTACCACATTTGATCTTCGTATTATGACAATAATTACATAATACAATATATTTCGATATTATAAGACCATAATTTTTTTCTTCGGAAAAAAAAATAAAAAATAAAAAAAAAAATAAAATTTTTTTTGTTATAAAAGAAATATAAAAGAAATCGTTTCAAAAAAAAAAAATGATAAATTTATCACCAAATTGGTATTTTACTTTTCATGAATGGATTTCTTCAAATTATACACTTGATCATCAATCTTTACAATGTTTAAATCAATATTTAATTTTATTGATAGAACTTCAACGTAAAAAATATGAATTTACTACAAAATATTATAATTTAATTCAAGAACATGTTGAAGAAATTAAAAATGAAAATTATTTTAAAAATCATCAAAAATTTCAAAAATTTAAAGAAATTCAATTTATTGAATTATTAAAATTTATTTTAATTGAAATAAAAGATCAAATTGAATTTGGAGAAAAGTTGAGAATTGAAAGATATATTAAAGAAGAATTAAAAGAGAATGGATTAAAGAGAAATGATGAATATTTTGGAAATACGTCAGATGATGGAGAAATTATTGAATTTGATGATGATGGAGAAGGAGATTTTAATGATACTTTTAAAAATAATATGAAAAGATCGACTTTAACGAGTCTTTATTCAAGAGATTCAACAATTTCAACAAGAAGTTCATTATCAATATTTTCTATAAATTATTCTTCAAGATTACAATTTTATCCAAAGAGAACATTTGATTATTTAAATGATTATGAAGATAATTTATATAAATTAATACTTAAAAAACAACTTGAAATCATTTATCAAGTGGGAGATGTTAATAAAAATATTGAATCATTAAAAATATTATTATTAAAACATGATCCATTTACAAAACAAGATGCTTCATTATTTTTAATAATAATTTATTCAACTTTTCAACTTTTAGAAAAATTAAAGAAATTTGATATTACAATAAATATTGAAAATTGGGAATTAATAATAGATTTAATTTATAATTTGGAAATTTTCATGAAAAGGATAAAACATATTACTTTAAATTTGGCCAATCGTAAAATTGACGATTCCGATAAATTGATCATAATTAAATTTTTTTTATATTCGATTATAATTATAATTTTTCAATTATATTTCTTAAGTTCATTTATAATTGTTTGTTCCCCTTATTAGACTTATTAGAGGATTAAAAACTTATAGACTTATAAAATAGAGAGCTTATAGATTTTTTTGTTAAAAAAGTATTTTTTTTTTTTAATTTTTATTGTGTATAAAATAAATATCATTAAAAATAATTAAAAAATAATATAATAATTTTTTTAGAAAATATTTACGTGAAATCAATGAAATCAATGGTTCGCCGGAAATATAGAGTACGACAACTACGACATGTCCAGCAAACGCGATTCCTATGATAAATATGAGTACATGAATATATATATATATATAAACTATAGATAATATAATATATTGATATGAACTTTTTTTTTTATGATCGTATCCATTTTTCAATCTTTTCAAAAACATTTTGATGTCTAAGCGAACCTTTATAATGATTCATATTTATTCCATCAGTTAATATCCAAATTCTCTTCCATATAAAATTAAATACTATATCAAAATCACTTTCTAATGGAAATTGTTCAACAGGAATTATAATATTCATAGTAATTCCTAAACTTTTTATTATTCTCAAAAGTAAATTTTGCAATTTATTTATTTTTATTATCTTTCTATTAGAATATTTTAATTTATCATTTTTTTCTTCTAAATATTTTAATATATTCATTAATTTTAATAAAACATCACTTCTAAAATAATTTACTTTAATAAAAGGATTTAAAAGAGCTTCATGAATTGGTTTAAAAAGTTCCACTTTTGTCCAAGAAAGATATTCGTTTGATTTTAATATCATTTGTAATGTTTCTTTTTGTTGTTCTTGAACAATTTGAAATGTATTATTTAAATTATTTAATGATTTAATTGATATTTTTCGACAAAGTTTTGCATATTTTCTGAGTGGTTCTTGTTTATAATAATTTGTTTGAAATTTTTCCATTATTAATACTGACATTGTAAAAAAATTTTTTTTATCAGTTTCTTTTTGAAAAAATAAAAATGAAAATTTTACTTTTTATTTATAAAAAAACTGTGAATATAACAAAATATAACAAACAGTAAATATAAGGAAAATATTTACAGGATAAAATTTAAATAAAATTGTTCTAATATTTTTGAATATTATTTATTTTTGTTTCACATTTTATTGATGTTGAGTTGAAAAGATTGTCACTGATTTGTCATTGATTTGTCATGTGAAATAATAATAATTAATCAGCAATAAAACTCATACTAAATAAAAAGCAAAAATGAAATTGAAACTATCGAATGTTTGGAAGATCATTACATACTTTCGCATTTTTTAAAAAGAATTTCTCGTTTATAAAATTTCTTTTTTCTTATTAAATTACTATCAATTATTTATATAGAAAAAAAATTTTTATTATTTTGTTTATTTTGTTTTAAATTAAATGTGATTTATGCGACCTTTTTACGACCCAAAACTTGTAAAACTTGTTTAATTGATTTTAATTCGTTCGTCAAATAATTGATCGGTATGATCGTCATCACGTCCTTGGCAAAAATTGGATCATACTTGCATTAACTATGCATGGTTACATTTTGATAGGTGCTTTATGGTAAAACAAATCTTCCATAAGAAATTTATTTGTTTAAAAAATCCTACCTTTTTAATACATTCTTTTTAAATTCTAGAAACATAGAAAACAACAACAAATAAATCTTTAACCTTTTTAAGAATTTCTTTTTTGTTTTGTACTCGATGGTTACTCAACAATCAATATTTTACCTTTTTTGGCAATTCATACGGATGTAAGTCATTCTTTTTTGTTGTCCTTTTATAATACAGAAGGAATTCTCAATTATTATATATATTCGACTTTACGTTAATACTTTTATAATAAAAAATTAAACCGTAATATTTTTATTTATAAGTTCCTTGTTTCATATCTAAACCCTTATTATCTATCTATCGTTAAACAGTTAAACAATAGTCGGAAACCATTATATCATAAATCATCTTCATCATCAAGGGTTTTTACCCGATCCGCATCTTACTGTTAATTAGAATCGTCAATCCTGAAAATGATGTGCAATGCAAATGGTTTGTTCAATTTAACGGATGACGTATTGTAAAAAAATATCAAGTACAGTCGTGCTGGCGTGCTAACCGCTTAAAGTTACATTAAATATAGAAACTCCATGCTAGTAATTCATATACGTTTACAATGTTTAGTTGTTTATCCTAAAAAGTTCGCTCAAGTTCGAAAAATGAAAAGAAAAAAAAAAATTATTAAATAAAGTGTTTTACCCTGAAAAGTTCGCTAAAGTTCGAAAATGAAAAAAAAAAATGTCTTAGAAATTAAAAAATGTATTTCATAAAAGCAAGGTCATCTGCTCAACCCTCGTATTGCCGCACTATTTGACCAAATTCTACCCAATACAAAATTCACGGTAATTTAAACGTAGCTTTCTTTTTAGCGGTACAAAAGCGGTACGAATAAACTCCATGAGTACCTTTGATTGTATGGTAGAGTTGATAGACGTGTCTAGTAGATACTTTTTCATTAAAAAGAACGGCCATGCACAATTATTACGCAATTTTATTCGGTTACACGGTGAAAATCATGTACCGGTACAATCACTTTATAAAGTTAATTTATAATTTTTCACTCCGTACATAATATTTTTCAACAAATAATACGAACAAAGAACGAATGTAAACAAAAACAATCGAAAAAAAGATTAACATCACGAGAAATAACTTTTTAATAAATAATAATCTAGTCAATTTTGGCTAATGTACACGATATTGAATGACGATTAAATATAGAGATTGGAGATTTATCGATTAATTAATCAATTAAGTCAGTTAACCGATTTAGGTCAAATAATTTAACCGAATAATTTAATCGAATAATTTAACCGAATAATTTAATTGAATAATTTAACCGAATAATTTAACCGAATAATTTAATCGAATAATTTAACCGAATAATTTAATCGAATATTTTAATCGGTTAAAAATGCAGATTATCTTATTATTATTTTTTTTGAGTTTAACAAATTTAGTTAAATCACAAACACAAACATTTTTTTTTATTGATTTTACGTAAAAAAAAATAAAAAAATTTAAATTGATTTTATTTTAAATAAAACTTTATTAAAAATGGCTATTTAACATGAATGATAACGAACTGAATGATGATTTTTCTGAATATATTGATTATAGGAATGTTGAAAATATTAAATAATCTTTATCTGGGTCGTCAAAGTTTGCATCTTCCACTACAATTTCTAAAAGGTGGAATCACCTACTAATAACAAAGTAAGCAAACAAAAAAAAATTAAAAATTATCTTCTACGTCCGAAAAGAGTTTTGTGTATATTAAACTAATAAATTTTTATTTCTTGAATTTAGAAAAAATAACGCTTTCTATTTGTACACGAGGTGTTTTACGAATTTCACAAAAAAGTAAATTTTCTATGCTGATCATTTAATGTTGCGCAGAATTAAATTTTACGAAAAACAGGAAAAAAAAAAAAAAGAATTTGTTAAATAAATCAAAATCGACATTCAAAATCAACTTTGACGCTTTAAGTAAACTTGCAGAACAGATAAAAATATATATACTACATGTTCCTTTTAAAATCATATTTATTAAAAATTAATTTTTACATAACTTTTTAATAAAGTTACGTGATGAACACCCAGTGTAAATTAAGAAATTGTCTTTACAAAATTTGAAATTTCTTATATTTTTATTTTTATTTTTATTTTTTTTAACGCTATTTATAAATATTTCTTGTAATTAAGTATTTGTGTAAAAAAATATATTTCGAAACATTAATTATGTCATGTGATATAGTACGCGAAAAATCACAAAATTTGTTAATTGCAGGTTAAAATTGTTAAAATATAAATAAAATAAAATAAACTTACTATAAGCTTAAAATTTATACATTTAACCGATTAACCGATTAATTAATCGATTATTATTCGATTATGGTAGCTGGTTAATCGATTATTAATCGGTTAAGGTTTTTTCGGTCGGTTCAAACCTCTAAGTTTAAATAAAGTAATTAATTAAGAATTTAACATAAATCAACCGAAAAAAGATTGAACACAGGTACTATATAAATCCGCGAACCCAAACATTGCATAAAAACTCCGCGGGTTATTAGCTGTCAAGAATAAATGCGTCAATCATATTTTTATTTTAGAAAGGTGGTCAAAACAACAAACCATTGAAAAGGAACAATTCTCATAATTTCATAAAATTATATTGTGTTTATTAATATGATTTCTTTCGTCTAATGCAACGAAAAATGGTAGCGCCGGACGACAGAGAAATCTATAGTAGATTGTTCACGTACTTTCAATTTAAATAATACATCACGGCGGATTTATGAAATACCCCAAAATTTGCCCGTCATGTTAAATTAAATAAATATTTGACAGTATTTCAATCACCAGATTTTTATAAAATTTATTAGTGAACAGTCAAAAATAAGCCAAAAAAAATTTTTTGTACCCCAAATCTTGTGTCTAACCAATTTTCTCACTATCTAACTCATTTTCCCAGCGTTAAACGCACGTCATTATTTGACATTTTTTAGGGAAAAAGCTTAATCGATATCACATGTGTCTTTAAGTCAATATTTAATTCCCGAGGGCGCAGCAGAGCTTTTGCCGAAGTTCCGCAATGATTGTTATTATAGAACAAATAAAATAATGATCCAACGTTGATTAAACTTTCACAATAAAAATTCAAAGAATGTTTTTTTTATTAAAATTTATAAATTTCACCCATTTTACTATTTTTGGATTATATTATAATACTTCTCTAATTTTCAGAGTTAATGTAAAAACTATCCCTTAAACCGTTTTGCGGGCAAATTTGCCCGCAACTTCTAAATTAGAATAAGTGACGCTATAAAAAATTCTTTAATTTTGGCCAGATCGTCACATAATTTTGTAGCCAAATTGATCTACATTCTGGCCATAAATTGTATGAGTTAGATATGCGGTTGATCATTAAAATTGGATGAGAAATTAACCCGCAAAAATAGTATTGGAATTTTTATATAATAAAATCTAGACTTTTCTTATCATATTTTTTCTCTATTTGAATATTTATTATAACTTTTTATTTTCATTATAAAATTTTGCATTATAATAAACAAAATAGAGATAAAAAAAATTGATTTTTATGAGTATATAATTAAAATGTATAATAAAATTATCATTTAGGTTCTATATTAAGTCAAAATCCTGCTTATAAACATCAAAAATCATATTAACAAAAGTTGTTTCTCATACCAAATTCTACATATTCTATTAAGCTTTTATATAGATACAATTAATTATCAATGAAATCGGCAAAGTTAAGTGCAAAGATTTTAAAATTTTGTGATTATCTTAAAATACAACTTTTGACCAATGGATAATTTTCGATTTTCTAATATATAATTTATAAATGATAATAATTGCTGCATAATATATAATTTAAACTATTTTGAAAAAAAATTTTATTAAAATTGCTTTATTTTTCATAAAATTAGATGAGAGCTGAAATTTGGTAAAATTGCGGGCAAATTTGCCCGCAATTGCTTACGGTTTAAGGGATAATTCTATAAATACCTTTATACTTAATCCTTAAATTAATTAATGTAAAGGATTAAATTACATTGATTTTACTGTTCCAACATTTCGTTATCGTAAAAGACAAATATTTATTTTTTATTAAAATTCGTAATATTATAAATTTAGATTTTCCTAATATAATTACCACTCAATTTCACAGTCCGCAAGCATTTTATAATATTTAAGTTAAATTGTTACTTTATACTTCTTTTAGTAAATCAAGTCATATATAATATATAAATGTATAATAAGTGAATAATTATTATATCTTTTAAAAATACGAATAATAAATTGAAATTTTAAAAGTACTGAAATATTTGTTTCAGATATAATTTAAATGAAAAAAATTAGTATAAGTGAATACATTATATGTAGTAAACGTAATATACATACTACTGCGTTATATTCTGATTATAATTAATTGGGAACTTCTAAATCAAATAATTTAGAATCCTGACAATCTATTAAAATGAAAAAATTAGTAATTACAAAATTACTAGTAATAAATATAATAGTAATAATACCTTTATTTTCTTCGTCATCATCATTAAGATATGATGTAACAATAGGTGAATTAACAGGTTTTGGCAAATTACTAAATGTGAATACCCTACTAGTGTATATTGCATCAGGATTTTTTTCGTATGAAGTTGAAATGTTTAGTATCTCATTATCAGCTTCATTAAATATAGCTTTAATCTTTTTTCCTTTATAACCAAATTTATCTCTTTCATCTTCACCACTAGGATGATACCAAAATTTTAATGCGTCATATAATTCATCTGCTGTTGGTCTTTGATTTGGAACAGCACTCATGCATCTATAGGCTAATTTCTTATAAATTTCAGGAGTTCCTTTTCCAAATTCAGGTCTGACTCCATTACATATTTCTAATGATAAGCTAATATCGTGTTTTCTATTATAAAAAGGAGGTTTTCCGGACGATAATTCTGTCATAATTATACCAAAACTATAGATATCAGAAGATAATGTATATGGTTCTCCATTTAAAACTTCTGGAGCAATGTATGGTAATACTCCACATATTTTATTATTTGATCTTTGATTTGATGGCCCTGATAATCCAAAATCTGAAATATAAGTAACACTATTTAAAAACTTATTACAATTCTGTAACATATTTCCACTATGAAAATCTTTATGGCAATATCCTAATTTATGTAAATTTTTAAGGTCATATACCATATCATATAAGAATTTTAATTTCTCATTCCAAAAAATATGATCAAAATTACTTGAAAGAATACATCTCAAACTTCCTTTATTTGCTAATTGTATAATCATCATAAATTCTTTAGTTTTTATATCTTTAGTTATTCCGTAAAATTTTAAATAAGTAGTTTCATTAAAATAAATATTCCAAAGTGTTTTAATCTACAAAAATTTAAGTCAATAAATTGTAGTTATAAATCTCTAAATTAACAATAAAAAAGTATATCTATACCTCATTTAAGTATTCAACAGAAATATTTTGTGAATCATTTAATTTTTTCAGAGCTACTTTTATAGGTTTAGCGGATTCTCCTTTTTTCCAACTTCCATCATTTTGTCTAATATATTTTACTTTATTATCAATCCATATTGCAGAATATACTTTAGAGAATCCACCCTCGCCAATTTGTTTTATTTCTACAAATTTATCAAATGGTACCCATTCAAGAAATGATGGGTATTTTTTACCGTCATCACAATATTTTAATTTTGCATTATAAATCGTATCCTTGATAAATTCATCAATGTCATTATTTCCACTGGTCCATCCTTCAACTATACAATGAGGAACACATTCTTTACACCATAATTTGCCATCATTTGGTTTATAACAATTTTCATGATTGATGTTTGGATTTCTATCAGAAATATTCAATTTATTAAATTCAGATTCCATTTGTATCTCGTACTTATTATCGTTGCTCATTTTTTTTATTCTTAAGCTTATAAAAATGAAATTTTGTATCATTTGTATGGTTAAAAAGAATTATTTATAGAGTCGTAACATAATAACAGAATATGGCAATACAAGGGGCTAATTTTTTGTTGTGCTAAACTGCGATAGACATAGGACATAAATTTGCCATTGGTCCTTTTTTTGTATACATGCGCGTAATGTATACTGTATAGTACTAAGTTGATCAGCAACTAACACAGGATTTGTCATCGATTTCCAAAATTGTATGAACAGTTATCATCGAGATTTTTTTTTTTTTTATAAAATTCATTCCTCTCATTATTTATTGTTCGGATTCTTCCTACAAAGACATAATTTCATGATATTTTTTTGTATTATTTTATTATCTATTAGCCTAGAATTGATGCTTTATAAATAAAAGTAACACAAATCTTATTCGCACAAATCAATATTGGCGTGACAGAAAAAATCAATAATTATAAACATTTTTTTGTTAAAAATTTGAAATTAATTTAATAAATAAATCCAATAATAACTATACAAATCTTTTCATTCCGTAAATTAAAGATATAAACTTTTTTTTGTTTTTCACTAATAATTAATATTCATTCTCATTCAAGAAAATTATTAATAAATGTATAATTTGTTTAATTTATATAAAGTATAAGCCATTATTATTTTTTATCACGCATGTTCAATGATATATCATATACTGTATATACAATATTGATTAATAAATACAATTAAGAATGAGTAATATAACTAAACCATAAAAGGATGAAACCAAAGCATTGCATAAAAATTCCACGAGCTATTTAAAATTTATGTATTATATTTTAGTTTTTAATAGAATAACACGTTAATTATATTTTATTTTAGAAAGGTAGTCGAAACAATAAACCATTGAGGAATAGGAACGATTCCCACAATTTCTACTGTATATTATTGAGTGGATTAGGATATATTTTACTAAGAAAAAGAAATTATATTGCACCTATTAATATTATAAAATAATTCTTCGTCCAATGCAATGAATAATAGTAGCGACGCAAATGGACGACAGATAAATCTATAGTAGATTGTTCACTTATTTTCAATTTAAACAATATTTATTTATTGAACTTTCAAATACGGAGTATTAAAATTAGAAGATTATTTTTTTATCATTCATTTTACTAATTTTTGGGTTATACACATTATTATAGCTAACTTGTTTAAATTTCAAAGTAATAACAACGTTCGTATGTAATGTAAAAACTATAAATACCTTTATCCTTAAATTAATTAATGTAAACAACTAAAATTACATTAATTTTAATGATTTAATTATTTTTTTTAGATTTATTTTCCACTTTTTATTTTATTTGAATGTGTAAGCGCAGTAGTAAAAAGATGAATTTACTTTTTATTAAAATTCGTAATATATATAAATTTAGATTTTCCTAACATAATTACCATTTAGTTTTAAAATCTGAGCGCATTTTATGATATTTAATTTGTTAAATTGTTCCTTTTATTATAATGAGTAAATCAAGTTATATATAATAGTACATATAGATATAATAATTTAATAAGATAAACAATGAATATATATACCTAAAAAAATACGAAATATAAAAGAAATAACAAATTAAAATTTAAAATACCAAAATATTTGATTCACTATAATTTATAACAGATAAGCTATATATAATTGTCCGGAGCGTAGCGAAGGACTTTCTATTGTAGAGCACTTATAACGAACTAACAATTTTGGATCAACCCATGAAATTTTTCTTCTGTACATCCGCTGACGCCACCTCACTAATTACCCCTGCTTTTTCCTTCTTGATTGTGTATCACTTTTACTTGTTTCACTGATGATTTTGTAACACTGCTTATATTATTTGGTGTTACGTATTTTTATACTATGCTATTTTCGTAAACAATTTTTTTTTAATAAAAAAAGATACCGACGCGACGGACTTTAACGATTTCCGTTTCCTAGTCATATGTAGTAGTAAACGTAATAATCTAATTAAAAATCAATAATTTAGAATCTTGACCATCTATTAAAAATGATAAAAAATTAGTAATTATGGAATTAATCATATACATACTGTAATGAAAGTAATAATTTAATATACCTTCATTATCTTCATCAATATATGAAGTAATAATAGATGAATTAACAGGTTTTGGCAAATTACTAAAAGTGAATATCCTACTAGTGTATATTGCATCAGGATTTTTTTCATATGATGTTGTAATATTTGGTATCTCATCATCAGCTTCATCAAAAATAGCTTTGATCTCTTCTCTTTTATAACCAAATTTCTCTTCCTGATAATATTCATTCTCATGAGATTTAAACCAAAAATCTAATATGTCATATAATTCACTTGCTGTTGGTCTTTGATTTGGAATAGCACTCATACATCTATAAGCTAATTTTTTATAAATTTCAGGAGTTCCCTTTCCAAATTCGGGTCTGATTCCATTGCAAATTTCTAATCCTAAGCTAATATCATGTTTTCTATTATAAAAAGGAGGTTTTCCAGATGATAATTCTGTCATAATTACACCAAAACTATAAATATCAGAGGATAATGTGTATGGTTCTCTATTCAAAACTTCTGGAGCAATATATGGTAATACCCCACAAATTTTATCATCCAATTTTTGTTCATTTGATGGTCCAGATAATCCAAAATCAGAAATATACGAATAACTTATGTCGCTTTTTTCAAGATTCTGTAATATATTTCCACTATGAAAATCTTTATGAAAATATCCCAATTCATGTAAATTTTTAAGATCGTATGCTATATCATGTAAGTCTTTTATTTTCTTATACCAAAAAATATTATTAAAATTATTTGAAAGAACACTTCTCAAATTCCCTTGATTTGCTAATTCTATAATCATCATAAATTCTTTAGTTTCTGTATCTTTAGTTATTCCATAAAATTTTAAATAATTAGTATCATAAAAATAAATATTCCAAAAAGTTTTAATCTACAAAAATTTAAAAGTTAATAAAATTGAAATAATAAATCTTTATATTTTTAAAAATTAAATAATAATAAAGAAATGTCAAATATAGTACCTCATTTAAATAATTAGTTGAAATGTTTTGTGATTCATTTAATTTTTTCAAAGCTACTTTTATAGGCTTAGGATTTCTTTTTTTCCAACTTCCATCATCTTGTCTAAAATATTCTGCTTTACCATCAATCCATATTGCAGAATATACTTTAGAAAATCCACCTTCTCCAATTTGTTCTACATCTTCAAATCTATCAAATGGTACCCATTCAAGAAATAATGGATATTCAACTTTAGCATTAATATCATATTTTAATTTTGCATTATAAATCGTATCCTTGATAAATTTATCAATATCGTTATTTTCGCTGGTCCATCCTTCGATTATGCAATGAGGAACACATTCTTTACACCATAATTTACCATCTAAGGTTGGTTGATAACAATTTTTATGATTGATTTTTGGATTTCTATCAGAAATATTCAATTCTTTAAATTCAGATTCTATTTGCATCTCGTCCTTATAATTGTAACTCATTGTTTTTTTATTTTCAAATTTATAAGAAAGGAATTTTGTATGGTTGCATGTATTGAAAAGTAGTTCGTATCATAGTAACTAATACAGCTTAGATTATGGTAATACAGGGGGCTAATTTTGTTGAGCTAAACCGTGATAGGCGTAGAACATATTCGCCAATAGCCTTTTCTTGTATACACACGTGTAGTTCCAAATAGATCAGCAACTTACGGGATTTCATGAGGTGGATAGAAAAATTATTTTGCACAATCCCACAATCTCTATTGTATAGTATTTATTAAATGGATTTTGAGTTAAAATTGATAAAATTTGCAAAAAAAAATAAATTATAGTAGTATACTACTAGCTGTAACTTATATAATATTAACATGTTTCTTATTTTTAAGTAAAAAAAATATACTTATTCTAACTAAAAAACCATACAAGGCATATTTATCCAATAAAAAAATATTTATTTATTTATTTTGATTATATCACCAATCCAAACCTAAGAGATAAAAGAACGAAAGAAAGAAAAAAGAAAAATAAATTAGTAAAATAAAAATCGTCAAGATCTACATACAGTAGTAATGATAAATTTAACAATAAAAAGTTTAATTTTATTACAAAGAAACTTTTCATTTAAAAATTTCTGCATTTTGTAATAAAAACAATTTTGGAATGTATTGTTATCAAATGCGTATTGTACAAAAGTTAATTTTAGCTTTAAATATAAGCTTTAACAAACTATCATTTTAACTTTAATTATGGTTTTTAATTAGTAATAACTAGCTAAATCTAAAGGATGAAAAATATTTAAAATTCAGTTTTAAAAAAATTTAGAAAAATTATTAATATTAAAAAAGTTCTGGTCTAACAAAAAGAGACCTAAAAAAAATATTGAAAAAAAAGATCCGGCCCAAAAAAATATTATTATTAAAAAACTAATCTTAAAAAAAAAAGAGTCCTAAAAAAATGATCAACGTACAGTAATTGATCTGCTGCGGCTGATCGCATTGAAAAAAATCCGATTAAAATTTCATTAAAACTTCCAGACCAGATTGGCCATCGAAACACACAGTCCCTATAAAAAATGTCGATCCATGTTTTATATTCCATCTTTTTACAGAAATAACGGATAAAACTTTTTATAGGAAGTACACATGACCCAACAGCAATCAAACTATTCAAACCATAACTAATTTGTTTCCTGGACTAATATTCTTTTTGTAGGGTTCCATAGTAGTAGAAAATAGAAACAGAGGTGTAGTTTAGGTGCTTGTTGGTAGTTGTTTGTTCCTTGGTTCGGTCCTTGGGATTTTTTAGCTTCTGCTTTTTTTTCCCTTCCCCTTTTTTTGGTCGTTTTCTTTTCCTCAGTGCTTTTTTTTTCATTTTCAGTTCGAACTTGTAGGTAGAATGCCCTCTACATTTTCCTTTATTCTTCAACTAAAGTAATATTATCTTCGGGTGATTTGGTGTATAGTGCTTGCGTCCTATGTAAAGTTTCTTTGTTTGGTTGATGCCTACTGTACTGTACCTTTCATTACTCTGAAAATAAAAAAGAAATAAAATAATTACGGAATAGATCAGACGCTGACAAATCACGTGTTACGCAATTCAAAATTATTTATAAAACGTTTATACCCACTACGCAGAAATATGTAAATAACTTTTATAAAATAAATTTTTCGTCAAACGCAGTAGTGAAGTAGTAGTGACGCAGATGAATGACAGAAAAATTTACGGTAGATTGTTCATGTATTTCATGTATTTCCAATTTAAATATGATCGAACTTCCAAATTCAGAACATTAAATTTTTATTCAAATACTTATAATTTTCATTCATTTTACTAGATTATTACAGTATTATCATTATTATAGCTAAATTTCAGAATAAGTATTCATCCTTGAATTAATTAAGACAAAGGATTAAATATATTGATTTTACCGATTTTGACTGTTTCTTTTGGACTTACTTCCAATTTATATTTCTTTGAATATGTCGCTATCATAAAGGAAGTAGAAAGATGAATTTACCTTTCTCCCAAAGGTCGTAATATAAATTTAGATTTTATAATATAATCACCACTGAATTTTACAGTTCGCGAGCATTTTATAATATTTAAATTGTTAAATTGTTATTTTACTCATCTTTTATTATAATGAGTAAATCAAGTTATATATAATATATATAAATATAATAATTTAATAAAATAAATAATGAATATATCTTTTTAAAAATACGAATAGAAAAAAAAACAATTATTTAAACTATAGTTTAAATGTAAAAATTTAGTATAAGCGAATATATAATTATATGTAGTAAACATAATAACTATGTTGTATTTTAGTTAATTAGGAACCTCTAAATCAAATAATTTAATCTATATATTAAAATGATAAAAAATTAGTAATTATAGGATTCATATAGAAGAATAATCATAATAGTAATAGTTCAAGCATAATACCTTTATTATCTTCATCATCAAGATATGAAGTAATAATAGATGAATTGATGGGTTTTGGCAAATTGTTAAATGTGAATAGTCTACTAGTGTATATTGCATCAGGATTTTTTTCATATGTAGTTGAGATTTTTGGTATCTCTTTATTAGCTTCATCAAATACAGTTTTAATCTCTTTTCCTTTATAGCCAAATTTTTCTTCTTCTTGATATTCATCTTCAAAAGTATAATTCCAAAAATCCAATATATCACATAATTCACTAGCTGTTGGCCTTTGATTTGGAATAGCACTCATACATCTATAAGCTAATTTTTTATAAATTTCAGGAGTTCCCTTTCCAAATTCAGGTCTGATTCCATTGCAAATTTCTAATACTAAGCTAATATCATGTTTTCTATTATGAAAAGGAGGTTTTCCAGATGATAATTCTGTCATAATTACACCAAAACTATAGATATCAGAAGATAATGTATATGGTTCCCCATTCAAAACTTCTGGAGCAATATATGGTAATACTCCATAAATTTTATCATATGATCTTGGTTCATTTGATGGCCTTGATAATCCAAAATCTGAAATATAAGAATGTTCATTATGTTCATTATCCTGTAATACATTTCCACTATGCAAATCTTTATGAAAATATCCCAGCTTATGTAAACCTTTAAGGTCAAATATCATATTAGATAAGATACTTAATTTCTCATTCCAAAAAATATTATTAAAATCATTTGAAAGAACACTTCTCAAATTTCCTTGATTTGCTAATTCTATGATCATCATAAATTCTTTAGTTTTTGTATCTTTAGTTATTCCATAAAAATTTAAGTAAACATCACTAGTTTCATTTAAATAAAAATTCCAAAATATTTTAATCTATAAAAATTTAAAAGTCAGTAATAAATCTTTATATTTTAAAAGTTAATTAAAAAAATAAAAAGTATAAATATACCTCATTTAAATAATCAGCTGAAATATTTTGTGATTCATTTAATTTTTTCAAAGCAATTTTCTTAGGTTCTGGTTCCTTTTTTTTCCAACTTCCATCATTTTGTTTAATATATTTTGCTTTACCGTCAATCCATATTGCAGAATATACTTTGGAAAATCCACCTTCACCAATTTGCTTTATATCCTCAAATTTATCAAATGGTACCCATTCGAGAAATATTGGATAATCGTCACCATCACTATCATCATTATCATCATCATCATCATCATAATCATCATAACCAATTTTTGCATCATAAATCGTATCCTTGATAAATTCATCAATACCATTATTTCCACTGGTCCATCCTTCAATCATATAACGAGGAACACATTCTTTACACCATAATTTGCCATCATTTGGTTTATAACAATTTTCATGGTTGCCATTTGAATTACTATCAGAAATATTCAATTCATTAAATTCAGATTCTATTTGTATCTCGTCCTTATTGTCGTAACTCATTTTTTTCAAGTTTATAAAGAAGGAATTTTGTATTTTTGCATGGATAAAAAGTATTATTTATAGAGTCGTACAGCTTACAAATTATGGTAATACAGGAAAACTAATTTTGTTGAGCTAAACTGTGATGGGCATAGACATAAAATTCACTACTAATCCTTTTTTTGTATAGTACCAAATTGATCAACAACACGGGAATTTGATATGAAAATTATTTTGCCAACCGACTCAAAGATATGTGGGATTCCAAAGTTGTATGAACAGTTATTATTTTTTCTTAATTGTTATTTTTTTACAAATTTCATTTCTCCCACGTTATTTATTATTTAGATTTCTACAATTAAGATTTTCCTACAAAGTTTTATAATTTCATGATATGTTTTTACATTATTTTATCATCATCTATAATTATAAAAATGCTATCATAATATTGAACAAAATTTTATTATTGTTACTATTTTATAAATAAAAGTAACTTGAATCTTATTTTCACAAATAATGACAAATAATATTGGCGTGATAAAAAAAATTTTTAAAAAAGAATTAATTATAAACTTTTCTTTGATGATTCTTTGTTAAAAATTTAAAATAAATTCATTATATAAATCTTTTCACTCCATAAAATAGAAAATATAAACTTTTTTTTTGTTTTTTCACTAATAATAAATATTTATTCCCACTCAAAAAATTATTATAAATAAACAATACATTTCTTTGAAAAAAAAAATTACTTGACACCATTTAATCAAAACTTTTTTTCGTAAAAAGATAAAAATTAATTGGTATATCGGCCAATATTATTTGATATTTAGCATATGTGTGTTTAATGTTACACAATATACAATATTGATTAAAATAAATATAATTAAGAATATCCCTTCGGTGAAATATCCCTTCGGAGAAATGGCTTCGGCGAAATAGGTTTCGGTGAAATGGATGTGCCGTAACCGGTAGATCAAGTCAAAATTTTTGAAATGTATCGTAAAAAAAATTTATTTTTAAAAATAGATATATATAATCTTGAAAATTTTTGGGCAATTGATAAATTTATAAATTTGTTTTAATAATTAAATTTTAAGGACAAGCTTTTTAATTCCGGCCAATTATAATTTTGTCCTTAAGACGTCAGTATGTTACACAATTGATTGACACTAATTGTGCGACAGTATCGTTCCCGAAATAATACTGATGATTATTTTAGTATTTTTAAATTAGATTTATATTTGACAAATGATGATGATATATATAATAATCCAAATATTCATTCAGAAGAACAAGATGAATTGGAACTTCCTGAAAGTAAGAATTACTTTTTTTTTTGAAAACGTATAATTATATTTAAAAAAAAAATATTCTCAAAAATGGTACTAATTTAATATAAATTTTAGACGTCCAAAGTAATTATAAAATTGAAATGATGTAAAAACAAGAGGAGAAACACTATCCTAATATTGATGGTATGTTAAATTACTATTATACTGATGATTATTCTAGTATTTTTTTAATACATTTTAATTTTGATTTATATTTGATAGATAATGATGAAATATATAATAATCCAAATATTCATTCAGAAGAACAAGATGAATTGGAACTTCCTGAGAGTATGAATTACTCTTTTAGAAAATTATAGTATATTTAAAAAAAATTCTCAAAAAATGGTGCTAACTTAATATAAATTTTAGACGTCCAAAGTAATTATAAAATCGAAACAATGCAAAACCAAGAAGAAAAACATTATACTAATGTTGAAGGTATGTCAAATAACTATTATGCTAATGATTATTTAGTATTTTTTGATTTTATTTTTAATTTTGATTTATATTTAGCAGATGATGACATATATAATAATCCAAATATTCATTCAGAAGAACAAAATGAATTGGAACTTCCTGAAAGTAAGGATTACTCTTATAAAATCATGTAGTGTAAAAAAAAATCCTTAAAAAATGGCGCTAACTTAATATTAAATTTTTAGACATCCAAAGTAGTTATAAAATTGAAACAACAAGAAGAGAAACACTATCCTAAAGTTGAAGGTATGTTAAATAACTATTATACTGATGATTAGTTTAATATTTCTTTAATTTTTTGTTAATTTTAATTTGTATTTGATAGATGATGACGATATATATAATAATCCAAATATTCACTCAGAAGAACAAAGTAAGAATCATTCCTTTAGAAATGAATAATATATTTAAAATAAAATTCTTCAAAAAATGATACTAACTTAATTTAAATTTTTAGACGTCCAAATTAATTATAAAATTGAAACAATACAAAAACAAATTAAAGTTGATGGTATGTAAAGTAATTATTATGCTGATTATTATTTTAGTGTTTTTTGATTTTTTTGATTTTTAATAGATTATAAATATTCATAAAAAAACTAGACGAATCGAAACTTCCTAAATGTAAGAATGGCAAGAAACATGTCTTAAGACAACTTTGGTGTTTTAAAACATGTTTTGCATGTTTTGAAAGATGTTTTAAACCGTTCAGTAAATAATATTGTATTGCAAATGAATTATATAAATTAAGCACTATTACATCTAAAATTTCTTTTTTTATTATTATTATAAATTATTTAAATACTGACTCGATGAATTTATTTTGTTTTTTATATATTATTATATGGGTTTTTTTTCTACGCACTCACAGGTGCATATATTATACATTATCATATAGTTTTTAGTTTTGCATGGAGCAAAAATTTAAATAAAATTTATTAAAATTTAACAATGTAACATGCATTTTGTTTGCATCCTTCTATTATTATAGAATTTATAAAATAAAATAGTAAACGTCGAATTAAATAATTTTATGATTTTCTAAATAGGTTGACAACAAATACTGTAATTCAAGTTTCCACCAAATTTTAATAGTATAAACTTCGTGTAGCCATATCTCTTCTGTTACAAAAACCTTCAGAGGTATTCCAGTGGGTCTGGTTCATTTCACCGACAATTTCTTCTATCATTTCATCGACATAAAAAATAATTATTGAATATGAGATATTTTATTATAAAACATTTTTTTTTTAGATATTTAGTTTAGATTTAGTAATAAGTATTGATACTCTACTTTCATCTTAGACGGGTTAGTAGATAGAATAACGTATAGTTATATCTATTATATTTTTTTTATTTTTTTACATGTTATTATAAATTTCATTAAAATAATAAAAACTAACAAAAATATATATATATATAATAAACTTTTTAGTTTTTGATCACAACAAAACATTAATACATTTATTAAAAAAAAAATAAACTATTGCAAAAGTGGTAGTTTTTTTGTATTTTATAAAATCTAACAAAGAAATACGTGTTACTAACAAAAAAAAATCCCCATTTCATATAAAGATATATGTATATTTAATTTTATATATATGTCGGTGAAATGTTTGTCGGTGAAATAACCCTGTCGGTGAAACGTTTGTCGGTGAAGTAATTGTCGGTGAGTTAAACGCGACCCATTCCAGTAGTATCCAATGTACATTGAAGTATCTAAGCACAAGCTGTTCGGTAAGGTGTTTAGGGATTAGCAAAATTTTTACCCAGAAAGGACCCGTAGTTGACCCTAGCTCTATTAAGACGTCCAAGATAATTTTACGTTTCAAATTTTATTATATTAGTTTTATTACGCTATAATGCTTACTGTAATTAGTTAAATTTTTTCCGCGCTTTACCACAATGGTGTATAGTATATATAATAAAAATTCTAATAGTTCACAACCATTGAAGTACCTAGAGTTTTTGTTACATGGATTTATTTAAATAAAAAGTAATTTCGAGAAAAAAAAATTTCAAGATTTGAGATAATCAAATTATTAGAGATTCAGAAACTGGTTTGCAATATCATCTTGCTTTGTGTATGTGATTGTTATTCGCGCTTATCTGGTCTGTAGCGCAGTTTGTTTACTTTGTTATTTTAAAGATAGTCTTTTTATCTAAAAGGTATAATATCATGTAAGTAAAGATGGTCATCGGTCCTACCGGTCCTACTCGGTCCCAGGACTGCCGGTCTTAAGACGGACCGCGGTCTTTCGGTCTTTTCGATCCTGCTGTTAATTCAGGCCGAACTTATAGTACCGGCCAGAATTACAAGTAAGTGTAACACAAAAAATTTTGTGTTACAATGACAGAACCAGTAAAAAATTTTTTGCCCGGTGGCTAAACTATTTATCCAGGGTCACGTGATTGACATATTTAGTAATTCCGGCCGACACTATGTATCTGGCCAGAATTAGCCCAGGACCGAAAGACCGCGGTCCTACCGGTCCGTCTTTTTGGGGTGTAGGACCGGTAAGACCGCGGTCTTCTAGGACCGGTGACCATCCTTACATGTAAGTGGCGGTAACTGATTTTGAATGACCGATGTATGTATAAATAAATTTATAGAGATGGTATTTCACAATGGTCACGCATTCCTAGCCCTATAAAAAATTTTTCAGAAAAATGGTGTACTGGAATAAAAGCTAGAAAAATGATCATTTATTGGAGTTTTTCCCAGAATTTTTTTTATAGGGTAGAATAATATTATAATAGAAACGCATGGAAAGCTATTAACAAAGTTCTTCAAGATCCGCAAGTCGCATTATAGGTGCAGTAAACTATTGTCGGATCATTTTTTGAATGCCATTTTCCTGAATACAGTATATCTCTTCCCGAAGTCAGTTACCTGAATACTAATTTCCCGAACTGGACCTTTTCTGAAACGTACAATTTCCGATTCCTTATTTCCCAATTCCCGAACTCTAATTTTCTGAAATCCTACTGTATTTCCCGAACTCCGAATTCCAATATTTCACATAAATTGCTATTTTTTTAAACTTTTTTGCCAAATAATAATATTTGTAGAATTACCAAATAAGAAATTATATTAAACATTAGAATTTTTAAATTTAAAAACTTCGGTATAATTATAATATGTAAAATTATATTTTAGAATATCTTAGCTATTACTAGATATTTGTTAATTTCACAATATATATAGAAAAATTACTAACAAAACACTAACTTCAATTTCCAATAAATAATGTTATACAATTTTAAAAGTTTTTAATAGTATCATCGTCATCTGATCTCCTTAAATAAATAAATATGCAATACTCAGTTCCTCTAGTATCGTCCAGTAGTAGATCTGTCACGTAAATCACATGATGTTTAAATCATGTGATGTTTAGTTTTCCACTTTGCGGATTTTACAAAGAATACTAAATAACGTTAATATAATGAAGAATGACCAATAAACCACTAGACCAGTTATCTCTAATAATAATAATAATAATAATAATAACATTTGTAACTAAAAAAAAATTACTTTTTATCTGTTCATATCGTCTGATAAAAAAAATGCTAAATAATATTTAATAATAATAATAATAAAATTAATAATAATAATAACAAAAAATGTGAAATAAAATTTGTTTGTTATAAATATAAAAATTATATGGAATTATAGAATTCATTAAAATCTTTTACCTTCGCTTTTACTTACCCACGTTCAATTCGCTGGAACCAGCTTGGCTTCGTGCCCAACATGACCACTTACCGCTTTTGAAAATCTACCACGAATACATTGATCCCATTTAGGGAAAAAATGTACAACGAAAAGAACCTTCCTATTCTCGTTTTTTATCATTTAGAAACTTGTTCTTTTTCTACAATCTTTACACGAAGTATTTATTTCATTATTTTCACCTAAAAACTCAATATTGTCTTTGTTTGACAGCACACTTTGAAAAACAATTATATTCATTTATTCTCTGACATTGTATTATGTTTAAAAATATTTTGATTCTCTAATATATGATAAATCACGTGGTTTACGTGACAGGTCATCCAATATTTATAAACTAATGGGATTTGAGATATTGTGATTCAGGATTCGGAATTGTATATTTCGGGAAAATGTTGACTTCGGGAAAGGTATATTTGATCATACTGTAACCGTAGAACATAATACATAACGGTCTGATTAAAATGAGACTATTTTTTTTTGTAATTTTAAGTAATTTTTGTTAGGACATAGCAATCAACAATACGATGAAAAATAAGGTTTCTTTTTAAATGCCTTTTCTTTAAATTATAAATTTGTAAATTATCGTAATTATTATGAAAATTTTATTATTGTAAAAGTATTTTTTAAATACTTGATTAAAGTATGAGCATATTTTTGATAAATATAAAAAAAAAAGATTGATATGGGTTTAAATACTTAAAAGGTTGTAAATTAATTTGGTTGTAAATTAATTTAGTTATTTATATTTAAAAGAATTTTAAATTCATTAAAATTATATTATATTAAATAACATTGAATTCCTATTGTGAATTTTCAGCATATTTTAATAGATTTGTAAAATCATCTTGATGCCATGCCCAAGAGGCGGTACTAGTATCAGGATAAGGTTCATATAATATACCATGTGAAATACCCATTACATTGCCTGCGTTAGTATTTGGATCATAATTTCTTAGCCAAGGACCCCCACTTGAGCCGTAACCAACATCTACATTTATACCTCTATACCACTCGTAATTTGGAAGAGTTGATGGAAAATCAAATGAATCTCTTTGCCACTGACAAAGATGTTGTCCATCTTTGGTACAGTTCACGAAACCACCAGAATTATCATGTGGATAACCAAATACAGTAGTTGGAACATTTCCTTGAGGTATAACGAGATCATAATCGAAAGCCCCTGTATCATCTTGTAATTTTCTTCCTTCTGGGTAATAAAACTTTATAAAGCCATAATCAAACCTTGTAGCGTCTTGCCTAAAATCTCCCCATATAAACGATTTATAAGCATAAACTTTTCCAACTCTACCTGGTACATTATTGTTGTACCCAGGAAAAAAATAAAGATTAGTATTCCACGTCTGAAGATAATAATCAAAAATACAATGTGCAGCGGTAATCGCAATATTTCCATTATTAGTTCTAATTACAGAGGCAGTACAACCATCAATTGATCCGTCTGTTTTTACAATCTCTAAGAGTCCGACAGAATTTATATTATTAATATCATCAACAAAAAAATCTGTTGTATTACTCGTTCTTTCTTCTGATGGAATATCATATGTTTTAATCATAGGTTCCATTTTTGCTCTTTTACTCATAGGTTTAGAACTTGTTGGAAACGCATAACTTGAATTCGTTATGATTATCAATACAACAAATATACATAGTATATATTTCTTCATTTTTGTTAAGGTAACGTATTTTTAGAAAATTGATATATAGTGGGAAAAGTTAGAGGACTGTTAAGGAATGTCTTATTTTCATCGCTTTATATATTTAAAAAAAACGATGTTCATCTATGATCTAGTGATGCCACTACTCCCATTCTCTCATTTTGTTGTATATCGTCACTAAAATTTAATTTATTTAATAAAAAGGAGGCCGAAAATCCTTGTCTTACTCTTACTCACCATCTCTTTGTCCATATATTTTCTTCCCTTGGTGAACCTGAAATAATTTCTTTACCAAATATCTCAAGTATTCCTTGGGAATCCATTAATTCCACTTTATCTTTTACTCCAGTGTCATTTTTTTTAATACGGCAATATCATTGGTTAGAATAAACACTTTCTAAAATTTATATTTATCAACATCGATATCACCAACATTTCATCTTTTTCTAATTTCGTAGTATCAACAGTATCGACTTGATAAAACATTTGTAAAATCAATTAGATACATTTCTTGGCATGTTTCACAAATTTTTAAGAATTAGGTTGTTAAACATTTTAGTTAGATTCGGTATATTATATGATCATTGCCTAAGGGGGGTGGTAAAATCCTAAAATTTAAATTATGTCGTTTCTGGCAATCCCCTTAATTATTTATAAATGGAATATCATAAATTATTTATTAGACATCTTTGATTAATATTTATGTTTTCACTTAATTATGGAATTACTATTAAAGTTTTTCCTGTTCTCACAGAGAATACATAAATGAGTTAAAAAAGAATTTGAATTTTGGTGTAATATAAAAATACCAATTAATAAAATGTTCTATATGTTATCTTCAAGGTAATAAGTATAACGACGGCTATTAAAAAGACGCGAAAAGACAAAAAAAAATTTATTTGTGTAGATCACAGAATTGCGAAAATTATTGCATATCACCAATAAGAAAATTTTTTTTTAATATCATTTATTAAACACCCTGCACCAATTATGATCGCCTGGTATATACCTATGAAAATACAGATATATGTAATAAATTTCCTATTTTTTTTATACTAATTATTATAAATGTATATATAAATAGAAAACGATCGTCATCAATAATAAAATGAATAAAATAAGAAAATGATCTCTTGTTTCACATTTTTCACATGAGAATCGACGTAATCTTTTCTCGAACCCAATATAACATTTTTCCAAATCATGTAAATTTTTAATTTTAATTAGTGATAATAGAATATTGTTTTACAATAACTATATGATAATGTTTTACAAATAGATATACAAAATAAATTATTAAGCAAAATAGCAAAATTATCTTCTGTAGTAAACATGGTTCCTTCCGCCTGTTTAGTTTGAGTGTTTGAACTATGCTATGTATAAAAAAAGGTTACGGTACATTTCGCCAAAATCCATTTCACAGAAGGGATATTTCATCGAAGGGACGTGGTTCGTTTCTTTGAAAGTGCATTTTATCGAATCCATTTCACCGAATCGTCCATTTTACCGAATCATCCTTTTCGCCGAAAATGGTAACGATTAACATTTTAATAAAAAATATTCATCGCGCAATGAAAATAAAAATTAAATTATTTTTAGAGATTTTTGTTTTCCAGGATTATTATAAATTTAACATTCAAGTAACTGATATTAATTGTTAAGAAATAAATAAATATCTTTATTTTCCTGAAAACATTTATTCACGAAAAAGTAAGTAAAAAAAAGACGATTAATATATTATAAACAACGAGATAAATTTAATAAAAATCAGCTAATCCCAAAATTTTTCTAGAAAACATTTCTTTTATGTATTTAGTATAAAAACAATAAAATAACTAAGTGGAATAAATAATTTTCCGCGAATGTCCACTCGGCGAAATGTCCATTCGATAAAATGACTCCGGCGAAATGGGAGTTTCGGTGAAATGGTATTTCGACGAGACGTTTTTTCGGCGAAATATCCTTTCAGTGAAATACCCTTCGGCGAAATGGCTTCGGCGAAATAGGTTTCGGTGATTAAATTTTAAGGACAAGCTTTTTAATTCCGGCCAATTATAATTTTGTCCTTAAGACGTCAGTATGTTACACAATTGATTGACACTAATTGTGCGACAGTATCGTTCCCGAAAATTAATATAATACAAATACCTTCCTCTCTTCACTTACAACATGTCAATATGTCATTATGTCATGTTCTAAATTATTTTCAGGAGATTTGCTCGAATTATTATAAAATATTCATTCAACTCTACATTCATGTATTTTAGTTAACAGATTATGGTGTCGTTTAACGATTCCATTATTATGGGAAAATCCATTTCTATTTCTACTACCAGAAACTATAATTTTATTGAAATTTACTTAAATAATTCAAAACAATTAAATGAATATAAAATTATTAATAATTCATTACCTTCAAATACATTGTTCAATTATATTAGTCTTTTAAAATATTTGAATACATATAAATTTATTTCTTCTGTTGAGAAATGGAGAACCTCAACCTTCAAAAATAAATATTTAAAAAAATTCAATAATTGATAGTATATGTTTATCACTAATTAAAATATTTATTGAAAATTAAGTAAATTTACATACCCTTGAAATTAAGATCCTATGTATTATTGAAGATACTAGTTGTAGTATTCTTGAGTTAATTTTACAAAACCCAAATTTCATTTACAATATAATATATATGATAGTGTATATAACCGAAGATCTTGTATCACAAATGATTAAATCATATCAAAATCTAAAAAAAATTTTAATTGGTGGTTGTTATAATTTAGCTTTTTATCAATCATTATTATTATCAAAAGATTATAATTGTTCGAATACTTTAAATACAATCATATTCTATTACATTGATCTTAAAGTAGTAATAACTCAAGATAAAGTATTTGAACAATTAAATGTTTTAGAATCTGTTCATATTGTTTATTGTTCTTCTTTAAATAATAGTTTTATTCAACAAATTATTACTTTAACTAAACCATGTAAATTAAAATCTTTATTTATGAGTAAGATATTACAAATTGAATCAATACAATTATTATTACAAAAATCTGGTGATTATTTAGAAAATTTTGGGTTTGAATTTGAATTTTATTACAATCTATCATTAAAACAACAATTATTAGAATTACGTGTAATTACAAAATATTGTAAAAATATCAAATTTATTGATTTTTATGGATTTGATCAATTATTCAATTTAATTGAAAATATTCAACAAAAACTTAATCATCTTATAATTCGTATATCGGATGATACTTTATATTATTCCTTAAATAATAATATTGAATATAGTTCAAATATATTGCAAAATTTAGGACAAGTTCTCCCTTCTAAATTAGAATACTTAAGTTTGACTCTTTATATTAAAGAAAATGATTTTAGAACATTCTTAGAAAATATTCTTATTAATAAATTGTTAATTAAGCAAATAGGTAGTTACGATATTTTACATTATACAAAGGAATATATTATGAAGAAAAAAAGAGTCAATTATTTGTCTAATAGGAATTTTGAAGATAAAATAGATTTGTATGATTTGAAAGATGAAGTGAAAGAATTTAAGCTATATAATATTAGAGTTCGAAGTTGGGATGATTTCTCTTTTACTGGTAATATTTATAATTTATTAAAGGAAGTTGATTAATTTGGATTTACGTTATGTATTTGGTTCGTTTTGATATGAAATACTAACGTTATCTTTAACGTTTCGGATTTATCGATCTAAATTTTAACGTTTACTTTTTTAATTCAAACTTTTCCACTTTCAACGTTAAACAATCGCCATTCAAGTAATCTTTTATTGAAACACTATGGAAATAAATTAAAAGTTTGCAATGAGCACAAACTTATTTATATAATTTATAATATTGAATGATTTATTTTTTTTTGGTTTTATTCGTAATCATATGATTATGACGTTTAATCTCATATCATGCATGCAATATTCTGTCTCATCAATCATATTTACTGAATATTTTATTTATTTATTTTCGATTTTATAATGATGTGATACATTATAAAGTTGATCTCTTCGGACGCTCTTCTTTTGTCTAATACTTTATAAGCGAATTTAGTAGTATACTTCTACCCGAAATTAAAGGCTTCCTCAAGTACTTAATGATTTGGAAGAAAATTTTTATTAGTAAACTTGGTCAAGTGGGTTTATCTAATTCAATCAGCTGCTAAGAACCACCCCTCGTGTTTATTAAACTTTAAGGTTTATTTATTTACACAACAAATTTATGATTTTTTTCCAAGGAAAAATATATCAAAAAGTTCAAATAGTTTTAGTTTTACATATCTTAATTCTTTCTTTATATGAATTTTTACGGAAACATATCAAATTAAGGATTTAACTTTGAATATTTTTTTCACAACCCCTAATTTTAAATTGCGTATCTGCGTAGCGACCGTAGCGTTCTGATGGGTTTATGGAGAAAGAGTCACAAGACTTTCATATTATTTGTATATCGAATAAATTATTAGCAATGTTTAATTGATGATAAATCTGTCAAAAATTAATTTTAAATATGATTTCAAAATCTATCGTGCATTGAAGCTTTTCAATAACTAAATAATTTGTTTAGGATGGAGGGTTGAATTGGGGAGCTTTGAAATGGCGAGTTTCGTAGTATTACGAAGCTTGAATTTATTTTTCAATTTTTTTATTATTAGGAAACGTTTGCTGCCGCTTCCTTTTCTTTTTTGTAGGTTCAGGATATCTGTTTCGTCCTCCTTCATTTAAAAGTCCCGCCTCGAGCGCAATTTCAAGACTAATATGTATTAGCTTAGGTGGTTTAACAACGATGTGAATGTTTTTTTCGAGTGGTTTGTCAGTGAAATAACTACAAATCTTCTTCCCTGCAAGATCGTTGCTATGGAGTGAAGTATTTTTATTTTAGAAAAAAATTTTATATTAGGAAACATTTACTAACGTTTCCTTTCTTTTTTGTAGGGTTAGTTTCTGGGAATTTAGAAATTCGGAAAACGGTAAGTTTCGTACGTTTCGTCACGAAACTTCCAATTTTCTCTTTTTCTTTTCTTTAAGAAACGTTCTAACTGAATGTTTCTTTTCTTTTTTGTAGGACTTTTTTAGGCGGTTCTATCTTGTGGATTTCCTTTGCACGCAGCATTTCGGTAAGTTTACATTTTTTCTTTTTATTTAACGAAACGTTGCTAACGTTCGATATTTTCTTTTTTTTTAGGCGACTGGTTCTTTGGATCTTCGATTCGGTATGTTTTTAATATCTTAGATTTCATATTTTAACGAAACTTTACTTACTGTACGATTTTTTCTTATTTTTTTCTTTTTTTTAGTCGATCGGATCTTAGGTACGTTGGCGGATATTGATAAGTTTTCAACATGAATTTTGTATTTTAACGAAACTTTACTTACGTTTCGTTATTTTTTTCTTTTTTTTAGGTGACTGGTAGGCAGTTCTTGGGACCTCTTTGGACGCGCGGAATTTCATTTTTGGTAAGTTTTATTTCTCTATTTTACTAGTTTATTAATTCTAACGAAACAAATGTTAACGTTTTGAATTTCTTTTTTTTTAGACGGCTGGGAGAGTTACTTTTGATACAGGATTTCTGCAAGTAAAATGAAGATTCTTTCTTTTCTTTATTTTTTTCAATAAACTTACTAACTCATTTTTTCTTCTTTTTAGGCAACTTGATCATCAGGTATTTTTTAGAAGATGTATATCGATACTAGATACTTCGAAAAATAGATACGAAAGAAATGATTAATATGATGGGTATTCATGATGAGTATTTATTACGCAATTTTCGGTCGTACAATTGACCTATAATTGACCTATTTCACTATTTGACTAAGCGTGGGAAATGCAGAGATCAACATGCGTGTACTTAACTTATCTAAAATTTTCCTTCCAATAAGACAAGGCATTAGATATTTTAAAATATCAACAACATTTCGTCGTCCATCTTTTCCAATTGATTGTTACAAGTTATGAACAATTTCAGCATCATTGATATGTATTTCTGAATTTACAAAATCATCAGATCCTGGTGATATATTTATTAGTGAAATTGGTATAATTTATTCATTTCGCGTGTAATTCTCTTTTTTCTGCAGAAACTTTCCATTCACATGGCAAATCTTGACTAATTGAAGCCAAAGTTCGATGTCCTTTATTTGCGTGATACTTGACCAGGACCCAGAAATATGTATATAGGGGTCAGGTGATGAAAAAAAATTTTTTATTATGAGCTGTACGCATTTTTTCAGGGCCGGAATTATGATAATGTCAGTCGGTTACTATAATAGGAAATAAAATTCTGACTGGAATTATCAAAAATTATCTAAAAAAGGAAATATTTTCATGATTTTTTTAGTTTAAAATACGCAAACTCAAACCTGACCCTTTTATATATATTTCTGGGTCCTACTTGACCCTTATCACATGCTTAAACGGCAGTTCTTGCTTTAAGCTTTATTTCTTCAATATTTTCCTTATCAACACTAAGGCAAAAAGAACAACTTCTGGCATCAAATTCAATAAGATTATCATCTGAATGACAATCTTTAGCCGCTACTTGATCAAATATTGTAGATATAAGGCCTATTATAAAAATCTTATAATTTATATTAATAAAATTCTTTCAATATCAATTTCCGTTTATTACAATTGCATGCCTTAGCATATAAACCTGCTGCATTTGAACTTGATTTTTCTTGCTTTACATGATATTGAAATTTATCTCCATAATATTATCCAATAAACTGGATTTTTTTCCACATATTTATTTAATCATACATCAGACTACTTGTCCTGTCTTAGGTTTTCTCAAAATCAATTCCACTTCATAATTATCAGGAATTCGAAAAGCTTTTTGACTTTTTGTATAATTAAGATAAGTGGCAGGTGGATAATTTACTTTTTTAATAATATCATAAGTATAACTTCGTTCATTATCAGAAAATTGAATAACAGATTCCTTAGGATAATTATTAATTTCAACAAGGTTTTTTTTTAACTTGTTGATCTGTCTGAAGTGGTAAAGAAATTTCGTTAGCTTCCATTTTTTTTTAACAAAAATTTTAAAAAAAAGCGAATTTAAATTTTTATGATAATCTTTATTTTCGTTAACAAGGCTTTGAAAATTTTTGGCAAATGTAATACAAGAAAATCACCAATCAAAAATGTATATTATTTATAGTAAAACACCAGGTCATATTTTTCGCCATTTTTTAACTCCTCCAAAAAATAGGGGATTTTTTGATCAGCACACTCAATTTTACAGTCTGAGAACATTTTACAATATTTAATGTCACTGTATTTGCCAGCAAATCAAGTTATATATTACTATATATAAATATAATTTAACAAAATAAAAATGAAAATATCTTTAAAAAATACGAATATAAAAGAAATAACGAATTGAAATTGAAATATTTGATTCAATTATAATGAAACGAAAGAATTTAATATAAGCAAATATATAATTAATTATATGTAGTAAACGCAATAAATTATGTTACATTTTGATTATAATTAATTAGGAACCTCTAAATTGATTAACATAGAATCTTGACAATCTATTAAAATGATAAAAAAATTAGAAATTATAGGATTAATCATAAAGAAAAAATAGTCATAATAGTAATAGTTTAAGTATATAATACCTTTATTATTTTCATCAAGATATAAAGTAATAATAGATGGATTCATGGGTTTTGGCAAATTGCTAAATGTGAATTCCCTACTTGTGTATATGGCATCAGGATTTTTTTCATATGTAGTTGAAATATTTGGTGTCTCTTTATCAGCTTCACTAAATACAGCTTTAATTTCTTTCCCTTCATAACCAAATTTTACTTCATATTGATTATTATCCATAAAAGCATTATGCCAAAATTCTAATATGTTATATAATTCATCTGCCGTTGGTCTTTGATTTGGAATAACGCTCATACACTTATAAGCTAATTTTTTATAAATTTCAGGAGTTCCCTTTCCAAATCCAGGTTTGACTCCATTACAAATTTCTAATACTAAACTAATATCATGTTTTCTATTATAAAAAGGAGGTTTTCCAGATGATAGTTCTATCATAATTACACCAAAACTATAAATGTCAGAAAATAATGTATATGGTTCTCCATTCAAAACTTCTGGAGCAATGTATGGTAATACTCCACATATTTTGTCATCAGATTTTTGTTCATTTGGTGGCCCTGATAATCCAAAATCCGAAATATAAGAATATTTATCACTCTGTAATATATTCCCACTATGAAAATCTTTATGACAATATCCCAATTTATGTAAATTTTTAAGGTCATATAACATATTAATTAAGACTTTTAATTTCTTATTCCAAAAAATATTATTAAAATTACTTGAAAGAACATATCTCAAATTTCCTTGATTTGCTAATTCTAGAATCATCATAAATTCTTTAGTTTTTGTATCTTTTGCCATTCCATAAAATTTTAAATAATATTTACTATCATTAAAATAAATACTCCAAAGTGTTTTAACCTACAAAATTTAAAAATCAATAAGTTAGTTGCAATAAAAAAAATCTTTGTTTTAAAAATAGTTAAATGCAAATATACCTCATTTAAATAATCAGTTGAAATATTCTGAGATTCATTTAATTTTTTTAAAGCTACTTTTATAGGTTTAGGCCCTCTTTTTTTCCAATTTCCATCATTTTGTCTTTTATATTCTGCCTTACCGTCAATCCATGTTGCAGAGTATACTTTGGCAAATCCACCTTCTCCAATTTTTTTCATATTTTCAAATCTGTCAAATGATACCCATTCAAGAAATAATGGATAACCAGTATAACTTAATTTTGCATTATAAATAGTATCCTTGATAAATTCATCAACATCATTATTCCCACTGGTCCATCCTTTAATTAGACAATGAGGAACGCATTCTTTACACCATAATTCGCTATCTTTTGGTTTATAGCAATCATCATGATTGTTGTTGACTTTTATTGAATTTACTGCAATTGAATCATTATTAATAATTTTTAATTTATTAAATAAAGGCTTGAACATTATTAGTACGTTTAAATTTGTAAGAAATTTATTTGTTTAACTTATTATCTTATTAATTTATATTTAGAATAAAAAAAAGTCAATTATTTGTATCACAGTAATACAGAAAATATTAATTTTCATTGCAGCACATTTTAACTCGTGTGGATGTTACACAAATTTTATTATTATATATCGTCACACAGAGCGTCCCTATCTTTATCCTGGAGACCTGGACCATTAAATTTGATTTTATAGAGATTGTTTTATGTAAAATATGTCTTGGCAAAAATTTCGTGATGTTATTTTTTTAAAAAAGGGGGTGAAGAAAACAAAATTCAACTCCTTAAAATAATTTTTTTGAGTGAACAATTAATAATTTGTCATTTATTAGCTATTACCCAGAAAATTTTATGTTTAAATAAGAAAATTTTATTTGTATTTTACACGCAAGCAGTAATATATGCTAGAATAGATTATAAATAAAATTTGTACTCTTTATTCATATTTCAGTAATATTTTAAAAAAAGTTTATTGTTACAAAATACACTCATAGTTTCATAAATAAATATATAAATAAATAATTATTAAAATATTTCTAGTTTTCAGAGTCAGTTCCAGGAGTGTTCCAATGTAAAAATTATGTCAACGGAATTAGTATAATCGTGAAAATTCCATAGCTCCATGATAAAAAATAGCAATATTAGTAATATTATTATTCAACTATTAACTAAAAATATTATTTTTTTTAATAAAAATAAAAAAAAATGAAATATGAAAACATGAGTATTGCGAAAGAGATAAGGGATAATGTGTGTGGTAATCTGAAAAATAATCCATGATACTAATCAGTGTATAAAATCCGAAAAAAATTTTATGTGCACACCATGCACATAAGAAATTTTTTGCGCATATTTAAAAAAATTGTGCACAACCTACTTTAAATTAAAAAATTTTTTTGTGCATTAAATTTTAATAATTGTGCACACTAAAAAAAACATGCACATGTGCACATTGTGTACATAAATTTTGCTGATCTAAATAGATCGTCCAATCAATTTTGACCGGTCCAGGATAATCATCTGGACCGGTGGATCAGGTTAAGGATGCCCGGTTATACTAAATTTTTCCCCTAATTCCTCAACATCTGGTATTTTTTCTGTCATTACATGGAATCCGAGCTAATCCCACATAGGATCCAATGGGAACCTGGGGCGAAAATTAGTATGCAGACTCAAACGACCTCAAATGATTGGTCACGTGTCATTTGGGTCATTTAAAAATCACGTCATAATTCTGGCCAAATTAGCTATGTAATTTCTTATTCGAGGATAAATTTATATCACGTGATAATATAAATTTGTAATTCTGGCATAAATTTGGCCTGAATTAATTCTAAATGACTCAAATGACAAATGACCAGATCATTCAGGAAGATGGCCAAATGACCTGGTCATTTTCCATCACTGGACGTCACACCAAACGGGAACATTTTGTGTAATCTTTGCGGATTTATTTCGTTAAACTTCGGACTAAACATTTCGGAAAAAAAAGAGTAGTAAAATTTCAGAGTTATGAGGAGAATAATTTAACTTTAGTTTATCTCATTTATTTTTGATAAACAATCTCAATCGTAATAAACTGTATTAAATACGATTGACAGCTTCTATTGTGACCACATAAAACTTGGAGCCAATAAAACAAAAAAAAATCAAATTACAATTTCGTATTATTAAACAAATTAAATTGAGATCCATATTTTTAATAAATAATGGAACTTGATTCTATAATTTTATTACTATAGTCAAATTTATCGCCATACCATATGCATTAGGTAGTATACTCTCTGGATAGAATTATTTTTAATATTAAATAATTGAATAAATCTATTTGTAAACGAATTACAAAATATTAAAGACTTCAAAACTGAAAAATACAATATATTGGGACATGCATCTTGCATCGATAGTATAGATAAGAACTAATTTCTTCACCAAATAAAGTCCAAAAGATGGTAAAGCAAATAAAAATCCCTAGTAAATTAGAACTCCACATCAATTACGTTAATAACATGTCACAAAATAACAGTAAATGAATATTTACAAACTATATTGAATAATAATCTGCTCTTTAGACGATCGGTATATTTTAACTATATTTTAGATATAGTTATTTTTTATTTTGCAGTAAATCATGAAACTTATAATAATTGAATAATAAATTAACATTATTAACTTCACTCTTGATGTCAACTGAAGCATCTATAGTTACAAAAAAATATAGCCTATATTTAAATTTTTAACTTACATTACATTTTTTTTTTTTAAGAATAATTTCGTGTGTTGAATTCGAAATAATAAAATCGTACGATGAGATATTATTAATATAAACGACTTCAATAAACATTGAAAATTTATTATTTATAATTGCAAGGAAAAATAATTGTGATATTAGTAATGAGCATCACTGAAAATAACCATCATAAAATAATTTCCATGAATATTATTTATGTTGGTTCAAAAAATTTGTAATTTGAAAAGAGCCAAGTTTATGAGTTGAATCATAAATTATTATACAAGCTTTGACGCTTGTATACAATTCTTTTAAAATTTCACTAATACAGTAATATATGATCGGTTCAAAAAACGTATATCTCTGGGAATAATCAGATTCGATTTAAATGAGTATTTTATTTTTAAATATCTTAATTATATAGAACAATTTTTTCTTTTGTTTCAAATATTATATGCATGATATGCTGTACAGCTAACGAAATTAAAGACTGAACTAATTGAAAATTACAACACGAAGAATGACATATTAAAAGCTTAGTACATTTTTAACACAACATTAGGAAGAAACCCAAGCATTGCGTAAAAAATTGTGAAGCTTTTATTTTCATAATTTATACGTTCGTGAAATTATATTTTTGCTTGAAAAAGGTGATCGAAGTAATAAAATATTGAGGGATAAGAACGATTCCTATAATTTCTATGGTACGGTAAAAATAGTATTGAAATTAAGTATAATATAGGAATAATTGAATAATTTTTCGTCCAATCAAAAAAAATATACAAAAATAGTAACGTGGGTGAACAACATAGAAAACTACAATATTATTTGTATAAGTTTATCAAAGCTCAAAGTTCACTACATTAAGAAATTCAAAGATTATTTTTTTTTCTATTTTTTTGGATTATACTTATTGTAATACTAAATTAATTAATTTCAGCAACGCTCGTTTAGTAATATAAAACTACAAACTTCTTTACTGCTTGTATTAACGACAAGATCTAAAAAATTTAATATATTTATAGGAGAATCGACTTCGTACAGATTTTATCTAATACTACTTATCACGTGACATCCATTCCGCCTAACAGTCTTTAACGGTTTAAGTTTAACCATTGTCAATTGTTGTGGTAGTATTGAAATATTCAATTTCATAATATTTTACAAAGATTATATTCAATAAAAAATATATTTCTTCGATTATATAAAACCCTTTTAATAAAATTAAAAAAAGATCCAAGTTTCTCGTATCAAATTTTGAATTTTACGTCTGTGCATGATAATTTTGATATTTTTAGGTACACTACGTTTAATATACGTCTATATAATTTGTTTATTCTGGTTTTCTCTTTAATGTACAATTTATTTTATGACGTCTAAGTAAAATTTAAAAAATTATATTTTTCTTAATAAATCTATTGTTATAGGACAAAGAAAATTGGGAAGCGTATGAACATGAAGATTAAAAAGTCCAACAAAACTTGGAGGAAAATAAAGAAAAAACTACTGAAAGTATTTTATTTGATGATTAACACTTTACTATAAAAGGTTTAAGATTTATCTGTTTATTTGTTAAAAACATGAACACGATGTACCGTAAATAATTTTCTGGCAAAAAAATTCATAGTGTTCAGTTTAAAAGACTTTAAAAATTATTGTTTTGTACAGCATTTTTTTCCAATCTAATCCCTAATAAATAAATAACTGCAATACATCTCTATTCTATTTTTGGTTATATACCTCCTTTTTTACCCTGATTAAAAAATTTAAATTAGCGCCCAAAAATCTTTGATTATAAAAAAATGAGTAAGGATAATTATAAAGAAAATGAAACTGAACTTGATAAATTAAATATCTTTGATAATGAATCAAGTTACGAAAGAAATAAAAAAGAATTAACCCAAATTTGTAAAATTTAAACCTTAAATAATTGTTACTGCATCTTGTACCTCATCTTAGAAACTGAACATAACCACCATTTCGGATTTAATATGTACTATAATAAAGATATCCATACTAACAATATTGTGAATTATTTTGAATTATTTGTACTTAAAAATACATCCAAACAACAACTTATCGATAATATTAGGAAATTTCTGCTAAATATCATTCATTAAAACTGTCAAAAATTATATTTTACACAATGGTGTTAAATACCTTAGTTATATGATTTATGCATTTTATATTAATAATGTAGTTAAACTGATATTATTAGTGTAATAATTATATTTCACATTATAGTACTAAATGCCGCAGCTTACTGATCACAACCCATAATTCACAACCACAACTCTAGTAAGTCTTTTATATAGTTGTAATATTGTAACTATTAAGAAACAGTCTTTAGCTGCAACATATACTTTGCTTATATTTTCCCAAGTTTTTCAAATTTTTTATTTTGCAATATTTGTAGTATAAAATAAATAAGAATAGTACTAGTTAAACCTTTTTTCCGGCCATTTTGAAGGTGTGGGTGTTAAGCAATTTTAATTAGAGCAACTTCTTTGATTTAGGCCATAGTTTTTGTGAAAACACATACTATGTTATTGAGCAGTAGTGTATTTTAGTGGCATGTCTGAAATGTGTGCCAGGTTGATGGCGCAGTGTGGCGCAGCGATTTTTCCAAAAAAATTAAATTACAATTTTTTTTTATTTAAAATAAACCCTTTAAATTCCTGCACTAGATGTATTTTCGTCCGCTCTGCAAATTTACTTAAAGAATATACAGGTGGTTTAGAAGGCCATTTTCGAGTTATTTAACAAAAACTGTTTTTTCAACAAATCCAATTTTGGAAATGATCGGCAAAGACGATAAAAATTGGTTGTTATATACTAAAGTCAAAATCTACTTCCAAAACCTCCTTCCATTTATAAGTGAATTTTGTAAAACAGATGAAAATACATCTAATGCATAAATTTGAAAGCTTTACATTAAAAAGAAAATCTTTAACTTAATTTTTTTTTGAAATTACTGCGTCACACTGCGCCATCAACCTGGCACACATTTCAGACGTGCATTTTAGTGAAGTTATTACGATTAATTTATTATAATAAGTATAGTAATAATATTAAAACTAACATCATAAAAGCAATAGGTAATAACCATAATTATTAACCCCAAATTAATCTAATTTAATCTCACTGAGTCTTTAAGAATGCATTTGTACAAATTGTAAATTTCTGATATTGTTATAGCTTTAATATTTTTAATTAATTTAACCATTAACAATATTGTTAATGAGGTAAAATATTTAAAACTGGTATGTAATATTTATATGTATGTGTATACTGCTAATATAGCTAAAAATGCAATGAGAAGTTTTGTGAATCATTACAATTCTATTTAAAAGAGAATTTTAATAAACTCCAAATAGAATGATAAATATAAATTAGCACTTCAATTTGCAAATGCTGTAAAATGTTTGCATGATGAGGGAGTTTTTTATTGTGATTTAGTAACATAATAGTTTACTGTATATTGATTTTTTTAATTTATTACATCAAGCAATAAATTAAATATATTCATTTTAGCATACATAAATGTACTTGCACATCAAAATAGGATAAAGTTAGCAGACTTTGATTTATCAAAAAAGTAACTAATGTATTATATAATCCAGCAGATATTATTGGTGTATTAGATTCCTATATTGACCAAAATATTTAAATAAGATCAAAAATAAAGTTAACAATAACAATTAAATACAATCAGCTATTGAAATAAGTATAAAAATTTTACATTATTCATTTTTAATTTATGTATTAGAAATAGGCTTATATACTTATATTTGATAATTTATAAAAAAAAGATTTATTTAAATTACAAACTAAGAAATTTGTAAAATAGTATTTACTACTTCTAGTCCTAGTGTTTAAATAATTCTAAGAAGAGAATACATATATTTAATATTTGAATAAAATAATTATTTAAATTACAAACTAAGAATCTTTTAAAATATTTTACTACTCTAGCATTAGTGTTTAAATAAATCTAAAAAGAATAAAATGAAGAACAATTTTTGCTAAATGCATGATTTTAAAAAAAACTATATCTTTTTTTAAAACACAAATAATTAGTTAATTTTCATTTGTTTTGATATCTAAATATTAAATAAATAAAAGTAATTAACTTGTAAATTAATTTATTTTATACTATAATAGCTATATTATATACATTTTACATACCTAATTTCTTTAAATTAAATATGCATTCATCCAAATCTTCGCTTACTAGCATTTCACTCACTTGTACACTAGTTTGTGAATTTTTACTTTCAAGAATTTCATTCAATTGTTTACTAGTAAAATTAAGTAAGCGACTTGTATAGCAAGCTTGTGAGTGAGATTCAGTAGCAAGATTGTTATGCCCAATTGGTGCATTTATAAATTCCATAATATTGCATTTTAATTCTTCATTAATATCTTTAACTTTCACATTATCTGGAAGAGAAATCCATTCTTTAATAATATTGAACACTTCTTTAGAAGATGGCCTTTTTAATGGATCTTCATCCCAACATTTTTTCATCAAATCTACAAAGCATTGTGGAGTATTTTCAATTATTTCAGGACGTTCACCTTCACAAATACTTAAGCTAAGTTGAATATCATGTGCTCTATTATTAAATGGTGGTATTCCAGATGTAAATTCCCACATAATCATAGAAAAACTATATATATCACTAGCTGGAGTATAAGGTTTGCCTCTTAAAACTTCAGGTGCCATAAATGGTACAACACCATAAATCTTATACTCTTTCAAAAATGATTTTACAGGTTGACATAATCCTAAATCACTAATATAAATTTTGTCTGCTTTATTCTCTTCATCATTATGATTTAAAATATTGCCATCATGAAAATCACAATGAATAAGATTTTGTTTATGTATAGTATTAAGTCCAGAAATAATTTCATACAACATGTATAATTTTTGGCCCCAACCATTTTTAACTATTCCTGTTAAGTTTCCTCTTAAATTACCTTTGTTTGCATAATCAATTACTGCCATATATTTCAAAGTATCTGGATTTTTTGTAAATCCATAAAAATGAATCATTTCATATAAATATGAACAACTTTCATGATATTTCCACTATAAAAAATAATAATATATTAATACAAATAAATTATAATTTAAATTAAAAAAAGTAAATAATATAGTATCATACTTCATTTAAAAATTCATTTAAATTTTCATTTAAATTATTATGGCATTTAAGAATTACTTCTTTATTATCTTCATTATTTCTTAACCAAATAGCTTTGTATATAGTACCAAATCCTCCTTCAATAAGATATTCAACATTTTTAAATTTATTATAAGGTATCCAACTTAATTTTTTTTCAAGAATAAATTCATCTATGATTTTATTTCCACTTTTTCCAAATCTACAAATTTAAATGATTAAAATTATATAATAAAATTTACACTAAAATCTAAAATTAAAATTAACACTTACTCTAAAATTTAAATAGGAATTTAGGATAATGTATGCCTTAGTTTTTGTGTAAATATTTATAACAATAAGCTATATTCATAACTTACCAACTAAAGTAATAGAAAAAATACAATTAATAAATAAATATTATATAAAATATATAACAATAGAAATAACAAATAACTTACAAGCTATATTATTAATAATTTTTTAAATAAAGAATTTATTTAGTTTAAATTATATATAAATATTATAACAATAAGTTAATAATAGAATTAAATTTTAAATAACTTACCAACTAAAAGAAATTTTTTTAAATAAAGAAATTAGTTAGTTTAAATTATAAATATTATAACAATAAGTAATAATAGAATTAAATATTTAACTTACCAACTAAAAGAAATTTTTTAAATAAAGAAATTAGTTAGTTTAAATTATATAAATATTTTAACAATGAGTAATAATAGAATTAAATAAATAACTTACCCTCTATATTATTTAAATAATTTTTTAAATAAAGGATTTAGTTGGTTTAAATTATATGTAAATATTATAACAATAAGTAATAATAAAATTAAATAAATAGCTTACCAACTAAAAGAAATTTTTAAATAAAGAATTTAGTTAGTTTAAATTATATGTAAATATTATAACAATAAGTAATAATAGAATTAAATAAATAAATAACTTACTCCCTATATTATTTAAATAATTTTTAAATAAAGAATTTAGTTAGTTTAAATTATATGTAAATATTATAACAATAAGTAATAATAGAATTAAATAAATAACTTACCAACTAAAAGAATTTTTTTAAATAAAGAATTTAGTTAGTTTAAATTATATGTAAATATTATAACAATAAGTGAATTAAATAAATAACTTACTCCCTATATTATTTAAATAATTTTTGAATAAAGAATTTAGTTAGTTTAAATTATATGTAAATATTATAACAATAAGTAATAATAGAATTAAATAAATAACTTACCAACTAAAAGAATTTTTTTAAATAAAGAATTTAGTTAGTTTAAATTATATGTAAATATTATAACAATAAGTGAATTAAATAAATAACTTACTCCCTATATTATTTAAATAATTTTTGAATAAAGAATTTAGTTAGTTTAAATTATATGTAAATATTATAACAATAAGTAATAATAGAATTAAATAAATAACTTACCAACTAAAAGAATTTTTTTAAATAAAGAATTTAGTTAGTTTAAATTATATGTAAATATTATAACAATAAGTGAATTAAATAAATAACTTACTCACTATATTATTTAAATAATTTTTAAATAAAGAATTTAGTTAGTTTAAATTATATGTAAATATTATTATAACAATAATTAAATAAATAACTTACCAACTAAAAGAAATTTTTTAAATAAAGAATTTAGTTAATTTAAAAGTATTTAGTTTAAATTATATGTAAATATTATAACAATAAGTACTAATAATAGAATTAAATTTTAAATAACTTACCAACTAAAAGAAATTGCAAAAATAATTTTTTAAATAAAGAATTTAGTTAGCTTGAATAATAGAACTATAAACATCATATAACTTACACCCTGTAGTATAATCAATTATTAATTAGTTAGGTATAAATATAATAGAAAAGTATTTACTATAAATTAATATATCACTTACAATCTATTTTATTTAAATTAAGAATATAATTAGTTAAATTATATTAAAATATTAGATGTTAATAAATAAATAAATTAAATATAATATCCTTAAGTATTATAACTTACCAGCTGCAATATAATTAATTAGTTATTTAAACAAAGTATTTAGTTATTTGAATATTATGTAAAATAAATAAAGTAAAAAGCTAAAATTTAAATAACTAATAACTTACAAACTATAGTATTATTAATCATTAAATGAATTTAGAATATAATAATAATAATTAATTTCATTATCTGTTATTATTTAATTTTATTTAATTATGAGATAACCTATTAACTTACGGGCTAAGTTATTTAATATAATTTTTATATAATATAGTTAGTTCATATTTGCAAAATTGTTTAAAAATTTTGACAGGATAATTCTAATTTTATATTCTGTATGATTACCTTCATCAATACGTTGATCCATTACTTCCATTACTATATCAAATTCTTCCTAATTGGAAAGATAAAGTAAATATCTTTTTTATTATTTATATTAAACGTCCTATTAGTACAGATAAATATGGTAATAATATTTATGCAAACTTCATTGTGCAAAATGCATTGTATACAAATGTTGATCACAAGTACAAGTATTGCATGTATGACAAACAAAATTTGCATGTCAGGAATGAATGTCAATCATCTCATTGTTACGTAGCAAAAATCACAATAACGGTTTCTGTTTTCCTAGTTCAGTTATAAAAAAAAATCTGGAATACTTGGTGAAACCGGCGATCCAATTCATGGATGACCATCCAGTTTATTATTTTTTTTCCCAAAGTTTTCCATTTTCAAATTTTAATCTAAAATTTGAAAATTTCTCATGAAACGGATTGCAAGATTGGCTATTATGTGACCCTTTTTGTTCCCTCCTTTATTCAATTTTCATGAGATGCAAAGATGGCAAAGTATTATCATTTATGATTATCATTAGATCAATTTTTTTCCTTGAAATAATTTTTTTGAAAATTGAGACTTTCGAATAAAACATGAAACAATAATTATGCATAAGACAATGGGAATTTGATTTTAATTATTGAAATTATTAACAAAATTCCTTCGGAAAAAGGAAAAGTTAATAATAATTTTCCGATTAAAATTTTTAGAAATAAAAATGCAGAGTCAAGTTCTTTATTGAGTTTTAGAGAAAGTCAAAAATAACAAGGTGTAAATAAAAGAAAAAAATTCATCATTTACGAAAAAATACTTTGAAATAGGACTATCTAAAAGGTGAACAGTCACGTACTTGTATTATTTTGGATAAAATGGTGATCGAAGTGGTAAATTATATCATACAGTACTTTGGAAATCTTGTTTTTCGCCATGAGGATAATGAGAAGCTCCAAAAGGGTAAATTTTTTGTTACGATTAAAAAAATTTATTGACCTTTTATTTATCATAGTTAATTATCATGATTAATTATTCAACCATTATTATATAATTGGGGCCTCGCTTGGAAATACCCTAGGCGAGCCTAGCGCTTGATCTTGGATAGGAAATCTCTTGGGTGATAACTTCTGAGTACCGCCGCTAAGACTCCATAAATCACTGAAATTGTCTTTATAAATTACGAAATACAAACGATGTAAATAGTTAAACAAAAAAACTGCCAGATTGAATTTTCTTCTTACATTAGGAAAGTTCTCATCAGTAATAAACTGAATATCCATTAATAATTTAGCAGTGGTCTTAATTAACAAAATTTTAGGTATTTGTTTGCTTTCAAGCTTCACAATACGCATATAATAGCCTTAGAAATATAGTGCAACTAGGATTTGAGAACTGAATCGTAAAAATATGAATTATTTACACCAACAAAATGGTAACGTCATATGAAACTTTGAAAAGATATCATAAACATTTAATATATCGTAGAAATAATTGTCCGGAACGTATCGAAGAACTTTCTATTGTAGAGTACTTAATAATTTTGTGGTAACCCATGGAATTTTCCTTTATTTCACCTGCTGATGTCATCTCGCTAGTTACCCGTTATATAAATAATAAATAATGTATAAGGTGAATAAAAGTTTGGAAAAAAATTGATCAATATATTTCTTGTTTTTTTTTGTATTGTGATTTTTAATTTTCTTTATTGATGACAAAATATCATATTACTCTTATTTTCATAAAAAAAAAAGTAAATTATCATTAATTTTACTGTACACATTAAATTTGTTTGAAAATCAATTTTCATTTTACTCGAAATTATCGAAATTATCAGAACAGCTGATAGAAAGAATTTATCTGACAATTGTTAAAAAATTTTTATATAAGTTCTGCAAATTATGGATATTTTATTCATTCAAAATAACCAACTTTCAGTTTACGAACGAAGCCGATGGAATATTACTATTATAATTCGATAATGCTGGTTATTTAATTTAATTTAAATTTTTTCCGAATATTTTATTTTTTACTGAAAATAATGGAATGAAAACATTAAAACCTTTAAACATATGTTAGCTCTTCGAATATATTCGATCGCTCAAAAAAATTTTATAAACAGTAAACTTAATAAAATATGTTTAAAATTTTAAAATTATGTTAATGAAAAAAATTTTTAATATTTATATTTTAAAAGGAAAATTTTATTTAAGAAAAAAAATTCATTCCCGTTAAACTAAATTTTACATAACAAAAAAATAATATTTTACCGACTAATTACTTGGAACACTTCATAATTTTCCACTGCCAAATCTCCTGCTGAAATATCTATATCAGGATAAATATCTCCTGTATAAAAAGACCAATTATTAGAACTGCGGCAAAACAAATTACCCATACTAGGCCCTTGATTATGATAACAGTAAATAGCATTATTTGGATGAATGACATAACCAAATTTCGCAGTAGAAGTATTTTTTCCATCTGTAAAATTAAATAGAAAACTATCAGCAGTGTTTTTCGCTCCATTTCCATTCCAATCAAGTGGATTGTACCCTCCAATTAATTGTGATGAACCTTTAATTTTTGCTATCCAAATAGTAGCTCCTTTATTGTCACAATTTTTATGAAATGATGCAGCATTAAATCCATCTCTACTTGAACGATATAATAAGTTTAATTCATAAGGAATCTTATTATGACGTGAATAATTTTTTTTATCTAACCATGAAGCAAATAGAGGAATGTGTTTTGTTTCAATTAAAGTTGAATCAAGATTAAATTTTAAATTTTGTTTTCTTGGAGTTGTTACATTAGTTTTAGGTTTCATATTAGGAACTATATGAAATTCTAAAAGATTATGAATTAATTCTTGAGGCAAGATTTCTTTATAACAATAAACTTTATAAAAGAAATCTATAGGTTTAATATCATGAAATCTAATTAAAGGAATAAATCTATGTAATGAACTCTCAATTTTTATAACATCATCTTTACTCCATTTGGTTGGATCATTTATCATATTTTGTTGATAAAAACACCATTTTAATAAACCTTCCCAAATCTCAACTTCTTCCATATTTAAATCATCCCGTTTTATCAATAATTCCAATAATGGAGCCTTTATATCAGTAAATTTATCTGAATTAAATAAAATTTTAGGATTTTCACAAATTTTTTCAAGACAAAAATCCCATAAATCCGTAAATGATTCATATTGATAAACAGTTTCAAGAATACCAGTTGGATTTTGATGTAAAAATTCAGTTTGGTGTTCAATCAAATATTCTTGAATATAAGAAATCAATTGTTGAATATTAAGTTCATCAACTGCTATCAAGAGTTTCAATACATCAGAACCTTGTAAATTCTTCAGTTCAATATTTCCACAATAAATAAATCTAAAATATTAAAAATAATTATAATCACATATATTTCACCTAATTCCAAAAAATAATTTCATAAATTGATTTATATATATACATTACCTGAGAATGATATTAAATAGGTGAGGTGAAATATTTGGTTTTCTTAAAATAAATTTTCCGTCTTTTTTTTCAGCCCATTCGTTAGAAAATGCAGAACGAAAATATTGAGACCTGATGCTCAAAATATTTGAATGTGCATGAATTTCTTTAACGTTTGACTCTTCTCCAGCATAAATGATAACGTCGTATCCTAATTCTGTTTTAAAAAGTTTTTCATAATCACTTGACAACTCTGCCCAAAATTTTGAAGACATTGTTTAAAATGTTTGGGAAAAAAAAAAATATTGAGGGTTTGATTAATAATGCAGATTGGCTAAATAATGCACTCTGTCAATCCATAAAGTAAAGAAGCCATATATATTTACGTCTACGCAATTATGAAAAATGATCGACCAACTGAGGTGAATTTCTCCCTCACGTGGCGTTATCCAATGAAATCGCTCCGGACTTGTAACGGTTCCCGTTTCCTAGTTAAGTTTGTTTCTTTGTTTTATAAGTGAAAAAAATTGAAGTTTAACATAATTATGGGCTTTGATAACATCTTGATATCTTGATTTAATGTTCATGGAATTCTTTTATTAATTGATCTGTTAAAACGAACAATAATTTTAATGTCTTAAACGAATGAAATTTTATATTCTTTCTGTTATTTTATTGTGAGTAATTTTAAAAGCAATTATTACATTTCCGTAAAAATACCGAAAAAGTAATCATTATACAATTGTTTTACATTATTCTCATCATAATTTAATCAGTTTATATTATTTATATTGTGTGTTGCATAATTTAAGCACAAATTTATTGTTTTTGAGGTTGGAATCAGTTTATGTAACGGACGACTAATAACCAAAGATCAATAAATTTTCTCCAATCAACTGTTAGAAATATTTTTTTTTAACGCTCCGAAACTTTTTATTTAAAATAAAATTCTTAAAATTCAATTATCTTAAAAAAATAAAAAAATATTTTATAAATGAAAAACGTAAAAATAAATCCAGCTAAATTGAACGATTATCCTAATGAAAATATTACGAAAACTTTTGAGTAGTGGGGATCAAAATAAAAAAACTTCTCATGTTACCAATATTTGTACGCAATTACCTATCTATTCCAGGAGAACATCCTTTTTTAGATGCCAGGAATGGTAAGACAAATAAACAGATACATCACTCATAACAAATTAATTTATCATTCATTATATTTAAATTTCGTATACCGAAGTTTAATCATAAACTAGCACATACGTACTATATTTATTTGTGATAAAGCTGATGTTAACTAATTCTGGCCAGAATTTAGGTTTGGTCCATTGCCAGTTTTACGTTAGCCCGAAATTACTGAGACAAATTTTTTCATTAATATAAAATTAACATAAATTAATAAAAAAAATTTATTAATAATATTTGTTTATCGAATACTGGACATAAAAAAATAGATATTTGAAAAATATAAATAACAAAATAATGATTCACCAAAAGAAAATTCTCTAGATATAAATAAAAAATCTGACAGTTGTATTCCATATAAAGTAAACTACTTCATGATATAGCAAAATTTGTTTATTTAACAAACAAATAATCTTTACTATAATGACGTTTAATTATCTTTGTACTCATCTACTTATTGAGTAAAAATATAAATTATTAGAATTAGTAATATTTATATAAAAAAAACTATAAATTTATGAATAAATGATATTACAATTAATTAGAAACTTCTAGATCAAATAATTTAGAATCCTGGCAATCTATTAAAATGAAAAAAATTAGTAATTATGAAATTAGTAATAGATATAATAGTAATAATACCTTTATCTCCTTCGTCATCATCATTAAGATATGAAGTAATAATAGAAGAATCAACAGGTTTCGGCAAATTACTAAATGTGAATACTCTACTTGTATATATAGCATCAGGATTTTTTTCATATGAAGTTGAAATATTTGGTATCTTTTCATTAGCTTCATCAAAAATAGCTTTAATTTCTTTTCCTTTATAACCAAATTTATCTTTTTCCTGATAATGTATATTATTATTACAAGAATTATACCAAAAGTTTAATATTCTATATAATTCACTTGCCGTTGGTCTTTGGTCAGGATTAGCACTCATACATCTATAAGCTAATTTTTTATATATTTCAGGAGTTCCTTTTCCAAATCCTGGTCTGATTCCGTTACATATTTCTAATGCTAATATAGTATCGTGTTTTCTTTCATAAAAAGGTTGCATTCCGGATGATAATTCAGCCATAATCACCCCAAAACTATAAATATCAGAAGATATTGTATATGGTTCTCCATTCAAAACTTCTGGAGCAATATATGGTAATACTCCACATATTTTATTATCTGAATTTTGTTCATTTGATGGTCCGGACAATCCAAAATCTGAAATATAAGAAAGATTTCCATCATTGTTTTTATTGTGATTTTGTAATATATTTCCACTATGAAAATCCTTATGAAAATATCCTAATTGATGTAAGTTTTTAAGATCAATTGCTATATAATATAAGGAAAATATTTTAGCTTTCCACAAAAGATTATTGAAATTGCTTGAAAGAACACTTCTCAAATTTCCTCGATCTGCTAATTGTATAATCATCATAAATTCTTTTGTTTCTGGATCTTTGGTTATTCCATAAAATTTTAACGAATAATTTTCTAAGTTATATAATTTCCAATGTGTTTTAAGCTATTAAACAAATTAAAATTAAAAAAAGTTAATTATTATTAAAGGAGAATTAAAATAAAAAAAGAAACACTCATTATAAAATATACCTCATTTAAATAATCAGCTGAAATATTCTGTGAATCATTTAATTTTTTCAAAGCTACTTCTATGGGTTCGGATTCTCTTTTTTTCCAACTTCCATCATTTTGTCTAAAATATTTCGATTTACCATCAATCCATGTTGCAGAATATACTTTAGCAAAACCACCTTCGCCAATATGTTTTATATCTTTAAATTTATCAAATGGTACCCATTCTGGATTATAATTAGCATTATTAACATCATATATTAATTTTGCATTGTAAATCGTATCCTTGATAAATTCATCAATATCATTATTTTCACTAGTCCATCCTTCAATTATACATCGAGGAACACATTCTTTACACCATGGTTTTTTATTACTTGAATTATAACAATTTTCATGATTGATATCTACATTTCCATCTGAGATATTCAATTCAATAAATTTCGATTCTATTTGTATTTCTTCTTTATTATCGTAGCTCATTTTTTTTTACAAAAGAAATTTTAAGAGGTAAAAGGAATTTTCGGTTAATTTAATATTTTTATTTATTTATATTTTGTGGTTCGTGAATGGTAATACAAAATAGTAAGGGATGTAGGACATAGTTTCATTGTATAGTACAAATTGATCGGCGGCACGTGTTTTAAATTTGTGCCATTAAGGATTCGAATTAAACTTCAATTATATGCATTCGTTTCATTTCTCATACTAAATTGCAATTAAATGGCGTACAAGTTCTAAGTTAAGTAGAATAAATTTCATAATCATCGTTATAGTAATATTGTTGTTCTCGACCTTTATAAAAAAGAAAATTTGATTTGTAGATTCGGTATAATGATAAACAAGTTAGATATTTAATGGTTTTAATTGGCAGTTTGATATTTCATCTTATTCCACAGATGACGGAGATGATGGAGATTATGGAGATTATGGAGATGGAGATGATGGAGATGGATTGAGATGATGGAGGTGATAGGATGATGGAGGTGATGGAGATGATGGAGATGATAATAACGAATATATTGATATTGATATGAATCAAGTAATATTTCAAAGACTGGCTCATGTAATTCTGACTATGTGATTATCGATATACAGTAATTTGTTGCATTAAACAATTTGTCATGTCATAGGTTTGTGAACAATATAAAATTTTGCTGAAATCAGTTTTCGTTTTATGATTGTTATTTGAATTCCTATTAGGAATATTCGATTCATTAAATTTGGGTTCTATTTTTTATTTCATCTTCATTATTGTAAATATAAAATAATTTTTTATTAATACAATGGTTATGTCCAACCAATCATCTCGAAAGTCTAATTTTGTCATCTTTAGTATATTTAGTAATTATTTATCCAATAATGACATGTTAATTTCCTGTTGAATTAAAATTATATATTAATGATAATAGAATGTATGACAAGAGGTGCAGTACCATTATTAGGTAATTTTAGTCTTATTAACATAAAGAAAGCATAACATAAAGGACTTAATTTATAACTCAAGTTAGACCAATTGGCTAATTGACGTACTAGTACATCTATATCTGACATGATACATAGTGTTTTTAAAAATTTAATATAATATTTTTAATTAAATGTTTTAAAAATTAATTAACGATTGTGAAAAATTTTAAGAGATTCTTTTTTACAATACTATATACTGTATAATAATAGCCCTATTCATCTCCTGTCAGGTTCTGGGTTGATTCGTCTGACTCTGACTTTTTGTATCACATGAAATATCTGACTTTTGACCAATAAAATTTGGACTTTTAGGGTTGAACCAATTGAATGATCAATTTTGCCCATTTTGCGTATGACCAAAAAAGACTCAAAAAATTGAACCGAGCGAACCAATCAAAATGAACAACTTATATCCAATGTATCCAATGTAAACGAAATTAGACTATTGTAAATGAAACAATTATATATCGGTAATTAATAATGTATTTTAATACGATTTTAAAATAAAACAAATACTTAGTAGAAGGATGTAACATAAAATTTCAGTGACGTGACGTCGTGACACGTGCGGACAAATGGACTAAATGGACTTCGCCGCGTGTTCCAATATGTGATAAACATATATAGCCTCATAATAAATTGCAATTAAATGGCGTACAAATTCTTGGTTGATTAGAATATATTTCATAAAAATATCATAAATGATAAAACATTTTTTTTTTTTTTAATCGCGAACGCGACACAAGGTATATTGCTGCAATTTATTGATATATGGGAAGAGAACCTATACAAATCAATATACAACTAACATTCCGTTGGCATCAGAAATGAACATCCTGCTACACCTTCACCAATACTATTCTTCTTCATCTACGAGCACTGTTGCTGACCATCTTTAATTCCTTTATTTCAGCTCTGTAACAACTGTAGCTATCACCTTTATGCTAACAGCTTTCTAACTCCTCCAAAATTAAATTAAAATAATGGCTATGTCTGTTAAAATTTTAATGTCGTGATAAATAATAAATGATAAAACATTTGAAATGCTGATTTGTTGATTCAGTATCATAGGACATAGATTCGTTATTATCCCTTTTTTGTATATACACGTGTAGTACCAAATTGATCAGCAACACAATATGATGTGTTGTATGAAAAGTTAGTTTTTTTTTACAAATTTCATTCCTCCCTTGTTAATACTTAATATTCAGATTTCTATAGTCAAGGCTTTCCTACAAGGTTTATAATTTCATGATAATTTTTTGCATTATTTTATTATTTACTAGCCTAATATCAGAAATTAGAATTGAAAAATGCTATCATAAATATCGAATAAAATTATCATGATTATTAATGCTTTATAAAAAAAAGTAATTCGAATCTTATATATTGGCGTGACGGAAATTAAAGAAAAAAACTAACTATATAAAGGCATTTGAAGAGAAATCTGTTTTTTTTTTCATTTCAACTAATATTACTAACATATGCTTCGCGAAATAGATTTTAATTCTAACAATAAAGAGCTTCACATTATCTATACTGTACCTCTATCTGTACCCCTATTAGAAGAAATAAATGTCGTGTTATTATACAACTAAATAGATAGCAGTGATAATTGTAAAAAAAAAAATTACGTATATTATAATTTTCTTTCCTTTTTTTTTAAAAAAAAAAATCAGCTAATCTTTTTTTGGTACTGAAAAAATTAAAAAAATGATTAGAAGAATTTATTTCCGGTATTAAAAAAAAAAAATAATAAAATAAAAATATTAATAATACAAAAAAAAACCAGGTTTAAAAAACAGAAAAAAAATAAATTTGATCAACATTCTGCTGCAACAGAGCGTAATAAATTTGATTATACTAACCTCTAAACAAGTTCCCTTCCATTCTTTTTAAATTAGTCGAAACAAAAAAAAGGCTTAATTAACCCTCAGTAAATTAGTAAAAACATGTGGAAATGAAATGGGAAGTAATAATGAAATTTTTTATGAAATGGCAAAAATATGTGTGAAAAATGATTCTTATTGGATTTTTTAATGAAAGAGAGAAAGGGGACGAAACCAGATTAAATTTAACGCAAAATATAATCTATCAACAAAATTTAACATAATTTTATTTATCATTCACGAAACAGTAGAAATATTAAAATTTAATGAACGTTGTTTGTAAGACAGAAATAAATAAAAAATGTATAGATATAGGGATGGCACAATTGGTACACGATTTAAAACAAGATGTTTTAAAACAATTTAAATTTATTGTTCTAAAACTTTTTTTTTGTTTTAAACATGTGTTTTGCCATCACTAGATGTTAGTATGATGCTTTTATTAAAATCAAAGTAATAATAAAGAAATATTTTTTATCGTTAATTGCATTATTTGATTGTCAATATTTTATCTCTTTTGGGCAACTGGGCTTTTTCTTTTCATTATCATTGTAAATGGAAATTTTGTTTACATTTGGTTTCACAATTTTGGAGTAATGTATGACGTAGAAATTTTAAATATTTTCTAAACAATAAAATACTTCCATGGATTATTTCATTATAAATATTATACTAAAATCTATATTGTGTACAACCATAATCTGACCGATTAAATTTCAGATTAAATCAAATTTTTAAAAGTTTAGAAACTTAGTCACCACGAACATCTAATATTTGAATTTTATATATAATTGTTCCATAATGAAATAAATGTTGTAATTTTATGTTATGAATAACGATTTCATAAATTATTTTAATGAAATACAAGCTAATTTCAATAAATTTAATTGCAATAATTTTTTTTTCAAGGAGGTTAAATGAAACCTCCTTACGGTTGCTTCTGAAATTGAGGAATGTATCAATCTACTCGAAAGATCATCAATAATTTATGACAATATTAAAAGTCTGATTATTAATCATTTGAAAAATTATTATTTAAGCTCTTAAAATTATAATGAAATTGCTCAATTACAAACTGATTTTATTTTATGTAAATAAAAAATTACGTATACTCTATAATCAGTGTTGAACAATAACTAAATATATAATATATAGGAAAAAATGTAATTATTCATATATCTTAATATGATTATCAATAATATTGAAAATTATAATTTGATTTACCAATGTTAGTAGTATAGAAAGAAATCATCTAAGCAGGATATTAAATAAAATCTATGATATATGTAAAAATATTGTAATAAGAACAAAATATTATAGTCAATTAACCGTCTGCACACTAATTTCATAATAAGGTATCAAAAATTTAGTGAATCTAATTGATATATTAAAATGCGACAAGGATAGAAGATCTTTTGTAAAGAGAACAAGTAATTTATATGTATAAATAGCCCTTGGATGTTGTTTTTTTTTTCTTAAAGGAAGAGAGGTGTAATTTTCCGTAAATTTATGCTTCTTTAAATTGTTTCATAATTCGTTCAGGAAATTATACTGTAACCAATTCTATCAAGCAATATTTTTATCATATCAAAGAAAATATTACACACAATGTGTCCAAATACAAACAGATTTATTTTTGTAAAAAAAACTATAGTTGTTGGACAAAATTATAATTAATTGTAAATTTCTATAAAACAACAGTTATACAAATATTTGATTTAGATTGCTTGATCTAAACATTGGGAATTATCATCATATTCTGGAAGGTCTTCTGTAAAAGGATTAAGTAATCGAGATGTATATATAGCTTGTGAATGGGTAGTTATTTGATAATTTTTAATAATTGAAAGATTTGCTTTTCTATATTCTTCTGCTTTCTTGAATTGCATTTCAATATCTTCATTTTCTACTATGAAAAAATCCCTTCCATATGACTTATGAAATGACATGATTAATTCCTTTACTTTAAAACTATTTGGCCTATTATTTGGATTTAAGTCCAAACACTTTTTTATTAAATCAATATAACAACTTGGTGCTTCAAGTTCATCTATTTCAGGTCTAACTCCTTCACAAATATCTAATGCTAATAACTTATCATGCGCACGATTGTAAAAAGGTTGCCTTCCAGTTGCTACAAAATACATTATCATACCAAAACTATAGATATCAGATTCTTGGGTATAAGGCTTTCTTCTTAATACTTCAGGAGCCACGTAAGGCATAACTCCATAAATTTTTGTTTCATCTATATTACCAACTTCTCCACATAATCCCATGTCTGAAATTGATATGCAATTACCAAAAACATTTATATTATTTAAAAATAATATATTTCCTGTATGAATATCACAATGAACTATATTTTTTTGATGAATCTCTTTAAGACCATTAATAATATCAAGCAATGCAGATAATTTATTTTTCCAATTAAAATATTCATAGTTTTTATTTATCCAATGATTAAAATTGCCTTCTTTTGCATATTGGAGAACCATAATATATTCTTTTGTATCTGGATTTTGAGATATTCCATGTACATTAAGAATATTACTTCTTTTATTTATTGAGTATTCTTTGACCTGTTAAATGTATTTATAATAAATAATGATTACTATATTATGCTTAAACTAACATATTTATTACTAAAATGAACTTCAATTATCAAAGAAATTTCATACCTCATTTAAAAATTTATTGGTAATATTCTGTGAATTATGCAAGCATTTTAAAGCAATTACTCTATTCGGATTCCTTTTATATACTTCGTTAGCAGTATTATATTCTAATGGACCATCTTTCCAATTTGCAGAATATACTGTAGCAAATCCACCTTTATCTATTTCCTTAATATTATTAAACTGATTATATGATATCCATTCAAATACTTTATCACTATGATTATTTATTTGTAATTGTATTTCTTGAATAAGATCATCAATTTTTTCATTTCCACTTGCCCATGCCAGAATTAAAATATAATTTTTTGTATTTGGATTTTGAGATATACCATATATATTACAAATTACTCTGTCAAGTATTTTTTTTGACAAATATTTTTTCACCTAAATATAAATAAAAGAGATAAATATAATATAGTAAATATTAAAAATAACTATTAAAATATAATGTTATACCTCATTTATTAGAGAGTCAACAGAATTTTGTGAATCATGCAAATATTTTAAAGCAACTTCTTTATTTGAATCTCTTGTATATTTATACTTATTATTACAATACAATGGTCCATCCTTCCATATTGCTGAATATATAGTAATAGGTCCATTTTTACCTATTTCCTTAATTTTGCTAAGTTGATTGTAAGGTATCCATTCAAATATTGTATAATGTTTGTCATTGAATTTTAATTGCATTTCCTGAATAAAGTCATCAATTTTTTCATTTCCACTTATCCAATTTGTCAAGTTTATAGAATTCTTTTGAACAAAAATATATTGCTCTGTATCTGGATTTTTAGATATTCCATATAATGCTTGAAATGCTTTATATTTTGTTGAATATTTTTCAGCCTAATTATAAATAAGAGAAATTGTAAATATACTAATTATAAAGAAAGTATTTAAATATTTAAAGAAATTTCATACCTCATTTATTAGGGAGTCAACAGAATTTTGTGGATCATGCAAATATTTTAAAGCAACTTCTTTATTTGAATCTCTTGTATATTTATACTTATTATTATAATAGTACAATGGTCCATCCTTCCATATTGCTGAATATAATGTAATAAGTTTATTTTTTTCTGTCTCTTTAATTTCATTAAACTGATTGTATGGTATCCATTCAAGCACTATATCATCATAGTTATCAAATCTTAATTTTAATTGCCTTTCTTGAATAAAATCATCAATTTTTTCATTTCCACTGGTCCAACTTGTTAAGTTCATAAAATTATTTTGAACCAAAATATAATCCATTATATTGGGATTTTGAGATATTCCATATAATGCTTGAAATTTATTATGTTCTGTTGGATATTTTTTAGCCTAATTATAAACAAAAGAAATAGTAAATATACTAATTAAGAAAGAGTATTTAAATATTTAAGGAAATTTCATACTTCATTCATTAAGGAATCAATGGATTCCTTTAAATTATGCAAACATTTTAAAGAAACTACTTTATTTGAATCTCTGGTATAATTTTTATCTTGCTGATTCTTTCTGTGTAATGGACCACCCTTCCATATTGCTGAATATACTGTTATAAGTTTATTTTTGCCTATTTCTTTAATTTCATTAAACTGATTGTATGGTATCCATTCAAGTACTATATCATTATAGTTATTAATTTTTAATTGACTTTCTTGAATGAAATCATCAATTTTTTTATTTCCACTTATCCATAAATAATTATTTTGAACCAAAATATAATCCTCTGCACCTGGATTTTGAGATATTCCATATAATGCTTGAAATGCATTATGTTTTGTTGGATATTTTTTAGCCTAATTATAAATAAAAGAAATACTAGTAAATACAGTATACTAATTAAAAACGAGTATTTAAGTATTTAAAGAAATTCATACCTCATTTATTAAGGAATCAATGGATTCTTTTAAATTATGCAAACATTTTAATGAAACTACTTTATTTGAATCTCTTGTATGGTAACTTACACCCAAACTTTGATTCTTAATAAGTGGACCATCCTTCCATATTGCTGAATATAATGTAATAAGTTTATTTTTTTCTGTTTCTTTAATTTCATTAAACTGATTGTATGGTATCCATTCAAAGATTATATCATCATAGTTATCAAATTTTAATTTTAATTGCCTTTCTTGAATAAAATCATCAATTTTTTCATTTCCACTGGTCCAACTTGTTAAGTTCATAAAATTATTTTGAACCAAAATATAATCCACTGTATTGGGATTTTGAGATATTCCATATAATGCTTGAAATTTATTATGTTCTGTTGGATATTTTTTAGCCTAATTATAAATAAAAGAAAATAGTAAATATACTAATTAAGAAAAGTATTTAAATATTTAAAGAAATTTCATACCTCACTTATTAAAGAATCAATGGATTCCTTTAAATTATGCAAACATTTTAAAGAAATTACTTTATTTGAATCTCTTGTATAATAACTTTCACTCAAACTATACTTCTTAATAAGTGGCCATTATTATTTAACGGTAAATATTATGTAATTATTACAATAATAATAAATAATATACTTTTCTTGATAATATTAATTTATGTAATACAGAATCGTCAATTATTAAATGGTATTGTTTGGTGTAAAATTGTTTCTTTAAAATGTGTAATTTTAATATTTGCTTGTAAATAATTTTTAAATTTTTTGGTTTTCTTTTTAAAAAATTAAATATTGATTTGAATTAGTTCTAACAATTCTAATGATCTGCATGGTTAATTATAGCTATGGGAAAATTATATTATAGACGCGGAAAATTATATTATAGACGCGGAAAATTATATTATAGACGCGGAAATTATATTATAGACATGGAAAATATTCAATAAAATGGATTTAAATATAATCAAAGATAATTTTTTTTTTCATAAACTTTTTTTCTTTGTTATCAAATTTGCTAAATTTACTGAAATTTTTCACTTAATTATGGATTCCATTTCCACTAAACAACTTTTAACTAAAACTAGAAAATTTCTTGCCAAATTACCAAGTTTAAGTGAGATAATGTCTTATGGACAAAAGCATAAAAAAATTCAAATTTTATCTTGTGATCTTTCATATGTAGATGTTTATATATCTGAGGGTATAGTTATAGATGAAGGTGCATGTTTATTATTACCAGATGAATTTAATGGTTATATATGTGCTGATACAACTGCTGATGGAAATTGCTTATATAATGCAGTATCCTATTTTTTTATTCACGAAAACTCTTTATCAACACAACTTCGTCTATCTACAATATTAGAGTTGATGGCATATGCTGATTAATATCTTGTCTTAGAAGTTTTTGAAAAAGATTATTCGTATTCAGATAGAGCATTTTCAAAAGCAAATAATAAGAGATATCAGCAACCAGAATATAGAAATATTGCACCATTTGTTGCTGAGATTATGGAAATGTGTCGTATAGGAGCATGGAGTCCATTAGGTGCTCTATATGGTTTAGCTTCAGTATTAGAAAGACCAATACAGTCAATTTATTCTCCAATAAACTCACCATTATTAAGAGGTTTTACACGAATCATTGAACCTAGAAAACAAAAATATGATGTTGCAATTGCTGTATTATGGTCTGTAGGTGGAGTAAATGAAAAAAAAGCCAAGAAGCTATTATCTTCTAACTATTTTGCACCTAATCATTTTGTTGGTTGCTATTTGAAGGTAATTATTTTATTTAATTAAAATTTTGTATTATACATTTTATATATAATTCACTAATAATAATTAACTTTTTGTTAGAATAAATCTACTGTTAATTATCCAATTAATTTTGATTTTAATTTTGAAGAAAGCACTTTTTTTGAAGACCCAAATTTTGACTCTGATACTAGTACTATAGTAAATGATGAAAGTACATTGTTTGAAGATCAAAACATTGATTCTGAAATGAATATTAAAGATATTATCAACACAAATTATGAGGAAAATATTTTACTTAATAATCAAAATAGTGATTCTAAGATGAATATTAAAGGCATTACCAACACAAATTATGAGGAAAATATTTTACTTGATAATCAAAATAGTGATTCTAGGATGAATATTAAAGATATTATCAACACAAATTATGAGGAAAATATTTTACTTGATAATCAAAATAGTGATTCTAATGTAAAAGAAAATGTTTATTCTGAAGATTATAATGTTAATTCTGATTTCAATAACATTACTTTAGATAATACTAGCAAATTAGTTGGTTTATTAACACATACTGATGTTAGTAAAATTCCTAACTCTACTTTAAAAGGTGATCTGATTTGTTATGAAGCAGCTAAAGATTTTACAATTGAATTACCAAGGTCTCAAGTTTTAAGGGATTTTGTGGATATTATTCTTATTAATGATGAAACACATTTCAAATGGAAACAAACTGATGAGTCAGTTTATGAAATAGTATCTTTGTTAAAAAATAATAAGAATTTTCCACCACAAATAGCAGTTGCTATTAGAAAAACTCATAAAGATTTTTATTCTAAAATGCTAGTATTGGATTTATATTGTCAGGGATGTTATGGGAATAGAGATAAAGATAGGTCAACTTTTTCAGTAAAAATTAATAAACATTAATTATTTCTTGAAAAAGAAATTATTCACATTATAGTTAATTTTAATAAAGAGAAAAATATTTGCCAACATGAACAAGGAAAATCCTATGGTCAATTACGTGGTTATGCAAGAAAAGAAAGTGCTATAAAAATGATAAGCGATAAATTATATCCAAGACAATTACGACAATATGCATTAAATAATATTTCTTCAGAATCTCGTTTTACAGGAAATAGACAAAATGTTCCAACTGCAAGTGCAGCTAAAACTTTATCAGCTCAAATTAAGCCCAAAAAATCAATAATTGAACGAATTCATATAGCAATTGCTAGCATTAATGAAACTCATAAGTCACAATATATTTTTGAAAATGGAGAGGAGGCTGCAAAGAAAATAAAAATGTGGGGATATATTCAACCACCCATAAAAACTGTACCATTGTCAATTTTTTTATTGAATGAAGCTTCACTTTGTTATTATCACATGTATGCTGGAAATGATCCTGGGGTATTTATAGATTATACAGGTTCTCTTGTAAGGTAAATAATGAACTTATAATATATACTTATTTCAGTTAGTTTGATGAATTTACTGATATATGCTTAATTATTATAGATCTCTACCAAAGTATTTAATTTCAACTCATTCTAATACAATGTTATCACAATCGGAACCAAGAATTTTAAATGCTTTGATGTCAATGAACTCAGGATCTGGATTAGATGCTCCTATTATTAATATTTTTGAAATAATTACAAATGATTTGACTGCATCTAATTTAGAAAATTATCTTCGCACTTTAAGAAGTGAAGAAAAAAGAATTTATGGATTTAATGTTATTCCATTTTTGATTAATGCTGATTGTGGAAAAAATATTTTATTGGCTTGCCTTCATGCATACAATAATGAAAGTTATGCTGAATATATAAAAAGGATGTTGAATGATTTGTATGAAAAAAAAGAACATGATAATTCAAAAGTAATTATTGCATGGTGTTATGGTCATTCAATTAGAGCTGTATGTCAATATGTAAAAGATAAAAAGTTTGTAATATCATGTCAATGTAAATGTTGTGACAAGAAGTTGTTATCTAAATTTGCAATGAAAATTTGGAATAATGTACGAATTCAAGAAACACTCTATAATGCAGAAATAAAAGCAAGATTATGGCATTGGATTTTGGAACAGAAAACTTTAAAATTACAGGATCTTGAAATTGATATTTCAAAAATTAGCAATCTTGTTACCTTGAATTTAGATTATGATTTTAATGAAGATGCATTTACAGAAATTTCAGATTTGGATAATTTATTAGATAAAGATGATTCCAATATTATTTCAGAAATCTATGAAAATTCATTGCAAAATAGTAACCAAAATAATGAATTTCAACAATTTTACTGGAAATATACCTTTAATAATGAAGTAATTCTTCAAATTTTCAAAGATGATACAAATAATTATACTGTATATTTCCAATAATAAATTTAAAAATATCAACAGTAACAACTGATATTAATGATATTCATAATCCTTTTTTTAATATAAATCTACAACAATATTTAAAAAATACATGGTGGAAGACTTTAGTTTTATGGAGTAATGTTGTGACTCAAATAAGAGAAAGATCAAGGAAAACTACAGCAACAATTGAAGTTGAGAATAAAATTATAAAGCATTATGATATAAAGTAACGTAACCTGGATCTTGATAAATATCTATATGAAAGAACTAATGCACTTAAAGCCAATCAACTATTAGTTGCTGATAAATTAATAAATAATAGGTAAGATTGATATTTCTTTATTTGCTATATTTAATTTAGATTACTAATATAATAATATTAAATATAAAGATCACGAAAATATGTAAAAAGCTCTCAGCCAAATAAAAAACAAAGGTTAAATGAAATTAAAGATGATGATCCTATTGAACAATGGAAAGAAACAAAAGTATCACTAGAGGATCAAATAATAGCAAATGGATTTGTTGAAGCATTTCAAAAGCGTAAAAATTCTTTTAAAGGTATTACACAACAAATTGCTGCTGATGAAATTTGTGAATTAGCTAAATCACAAATTGGATTTGGACAATCAGCTGTTTCTAAAATTGTTAAAAGATCTGAATTACCTGCTAATGCATTGACGAGAGATGCTATTAAATTATGGATTGAGAAACAAACTGAAAGTAAGGCATTTGTGGCATAATTAAATTGAATAATAATGTAATTAAAATAAATTTTGTTTGAACATTTATTATAGCTTAATAAAGTATAAATGATTATAAAATTTTATATATTTTATAAATTAAATAGGTTAAATATATTAAATATATATAAAATTGATGTTCCTCCTTGTCTTGTTGATTCGATTTGGTCTCCTGGAATATTATATATTGGCGTTTCTTGCACTCCTGGTTAAATATTTCGGCTAACTACACTATTATTTAAAAAAAGTGTAGTTAGACGAAAATATTCAGCCGAAAATAGTAGATGTTGAACCAATAAAATATTCAATAAAATATTCTAGATCAACATGAATTTTTTTCGGCTGGGTGTTGTTAGCCGAAAATTTACTGCGCCTTCGGCTGAATTTTTCGGCTAACTACACCATTATGTTATTTATGCTACACTAAATATTTCACATGACTCCTACTCCTTGGCTGTGCTACTATTCGGTTAAATGATCTTCTTGGTGGTACTATCCGGTCAATTGATCATCAGATCAAATGATTTGCATGCCGATCATTAGTTCCTTGATTGATCATCGGGTCTGGTACCTCTTGTCGATCATCCGGCTAAATGATTATCCTGTTGGTGTAATCGTTATTATTGTTTAAGGTCATGTGATTGTTACTTTTCCATTAGTTCGGTTTTGAGTTGCCTACCACTTTCGTGGTTAATTATATGTTATGGTGAATTCTGGCACTACAGTGGTCACATGATTTTTCTCACGTCCTTTTTTATATTAATTTTTTCTGTATTTACTTTAACATTATTCAACTTATAAATGATCTTTAAAAACAATTGGATAGTAATTTATTCTTTTATTATTAAAGGATTTTTTAAATTATTTAATTACAGTTTATAGGCTTTAACTGCCTGATTTACAAAGGTTAATTGGTAATTCATTTTCAACTCTTTCAATTTTAAAATTTTAAATTTAATTATAATAGTTGTAATGGTTATTCTAAACGATAAAGAATATTGTAATATTACAATTGAAGTTCAATTGGTAATAACCACTATGTAAAAAATATTTAGCGCACGTTAAATTATCAATTGCATCATCTAAAATTTTTCAAATAATTTTAAGGTATTAAGAACTATAAATAGTTAAATAGTTCATTATTTTTTTTTTGGTTTTGATTTATTGTAGTATAATTTTCCTAAGTATATTTATGGGAAGAATTTCTCTGAAGAAATATGATACTCCAGATATAATTAAAATTTTAGGTACCGCTAATTACTAATGGAAAAATTATTTTGATTTAATATATCAGACAAGTTTCAAAAATGATTCTTTTTTGATTTAATATTTAAAAAACTGGTTATAATATTCAAATCACCCAAATTTTTCTTTAATTCCAGAAAAGCTTTTGATATCTCTTATTTAAAATGATTATTTACAAAACGAGCTAAGTACAAATTTGGGAACGAGTAATTGAATTAAGATTCGTTCAAAATCCTAAAATTTCCTCATATTTTACTATCAGAACTTAATTATATCCTTTGTATTTTGAGCATTTTTTTAAAGAATCGATTAAAAAGAACATTTAAAAAATAAATTAGCTAAAGAATTTCTGTACATATTTCTGAATTATATTCACCAACTTCGATTATAATTCACAAAAACAAAATAGTAAAGTAGATTTACTTAAAAAAGGAGATTTATGATCATAGATCACAAGTTCACAACTTGCAACCATTCAACAAGAAAACACATTTAACTCAAAAAAAGAAATTATTGAATTAAAAACTAATTCCACAACGAAAATCATTAGAATAGTTTGTTTTGATTATTTATTCTCTATATGATTCAAAACAACGAGATACTAATATTGATGCAAAACAATATTATTGTTAAGTTGTATTTTTAAGCATATTCAGTTGTAGATTCTTACTATGGTGATCGCTGATCTCCCATTTGATTATTTTAGAATTTTTTTTTTTCGTCCTTTTGGAGAACTCAAAACAAATTTTTTTCCATCCGGGAACCCATAGATCGGGAAATATACTTACTGCTTTGGTACTAACTCGTACCATTAAAATAATAAAATTATTAATGACTAATCAATATGTTCAATATTGATCTCAAAAATGTACTTTAATTTGCGATTTAAGTATATTATTAATTATTATTCAGGCTTCCCGTTTTGTATCTGTTTCATTAGATATCACTAGAGCTCCGAACAGGTCAGCCAAATTCAGGTAACCTGACCTGACCTGACCTGAAATTCAGGTCAGGTATGAGATTTTTAAAAAAAATTCAGGTCAGGTATGAAGATTGACCTGACCTGATTGACCTGTTGACCTGAAACTATTGATTCTACTATATAATAAAAGTGAGTTGCAGTATTGCGATTCACTTTTTTATATTGATTTTATATAATAAAAGTGAGTTGCGATATTGTGATTCACTTTTTTATATTAATTCTATATAAAAAAAGTGAGTTGCAATATTGCGATTCACTTTTTTATATTAATTTTATATAATAAAAGTGAGTTGTGATATTGCAACTCACTTTTTTATATTAATTCTATATAAAAAAAAAAGTGAATTGCAGTATTAGGATTCACTTTTTTATATGATTTTAATATGAAAATGTTAAATCGCAATATTTCAAGAAAAAATGTTGCGAAAACTTTTTTTTCATAATATTATATTAAAAAAAAAAAGTTTTGTACCGTTTTTTTTCAATACTTTAATAAAAATAGTCCTGAAATTTTTCAGGTTTCAGGTCAGGTCAGGTCAAACAGACAACCTGATATAACCTGACCTGACCTGACCTGAAAAAAAATTTCAGGTCAGGTTTATCAATTAACCTGACCTGACCTGACCCATTCGGAGCTCTAGATATCACCAAGTTGATCAGCAGCATTAAAATTCACATGGTTTAAAATTTTGTATTAGAATGATATGCTCAATTATAGTTTCAGTTCTCATATTAAAATACAATTAAATTTAATGCTGTAACAAGTTCTAAGCTAATTAAAATCGATATAGTCAGTTCTCGACCTTTATAATAGGAAAAAATTTTTTGAAATTTTGATTTGTAGATTCGGTATATAAACAAGTTAGATATTCGATGGTTTTGGTTGGCTAATGTTCATTAATTGCTAAAAACTTCGATAAGAGATAATTAAAAAGGTCCTATTGATAATATAATGGATGGAGCAAAAAAGAAGTTGATTATCAATTTAATTTGCTGCGTTATACAATTTGTCGTGTTATAAGTAATTAATTCCTTTTTTTGATTAATAATATTAAATAATTGGCATAAAAACATTTTTTTTATTTAAATACCTTATGCATAAATAGAAACTATTATTAATTTAAATTATTATTTTTACAGATATTAATTTTAATGGAATTATTTTTTTAAATAAATATAGTCAATTAATAGAATATTAAATGTTTTAATTTTAATTTTTTGGTTAGTTAAAAAGCAGGGGTATGTAATTTAAAATTTTTGAAAAATACCCCTGAAATAAGCAATTTTTTTATATAGGGAATATGTTTTTTTCGCACCTGCAATATGTCACATCTCCCTTTTTTGGTAATTTTTATATATTAATTATGTCGATCATTTTTATCACATGACTTTGTTAAGATTTCCCATTTTTTAAAAAATCCTTGCGTGAGACCTTATGCACTTACTATGTACTATAAGAAACCTTATACTATACGTATTTTTGACCGTTCTACAAGTTTTCTTAATATATCAAAAAGGATTTAGAATGTCATTTTTGACTTTTATATGTAACATATTATAGGGGTGCGACATAACGCAGGTGCGATAAAAAACAAAACCCTTATATATATACTGTAATTTATATTTATATTATAATAATATTAAAAATTTAGAAAAAAAAATAAAACATTAGTAAAACAAATATTTATTATTAAAAAAAAAATAATAATTAATTTTATAAATTTATTAAAAAAATTGTAAAATTGTAAAATTTAATAAAAATTTTCCAATACAGTCATCCTCCCATATAATCACACCCTTCGGGACTATAAAAAAATGGTGTGACTATAAAAATTATATATGATGTGATTAAAGGGAAGGTTTTTTTAATAAGTTTATTAGTAACTTGGGATTAATGTAAATGTGCTTATAAGGGAGTTGTGATTATACAGGGGGTGACTATATGGGAGGACGACTGTATA